TCGTTTTTCAAATTACATCAATACTTCTTTGAACTCTCTTCTCATTTATTTAAGAATAATATTCCAATTGATAAATATATTTTATTACTACGAATGCACAGATGATACCTTTCCCATAATTCAATGCACCCTTTCATTTAAATTGGATGCATTTCAGATGGTAAAAAAATCGAATTTCCCTATCAAAGACGGCAGAGAGTCTTGTCATGTTACCTCATTTAATTTCTTTTAAAAATGCCGTCTTTCCAATGCATCGAGAGATGCTTCAATCCGTTTGAGCGAAATGGAGAAACACTACAATAGTGTTTTATGCGTTTTATGCAAATTGATGCTTAAGATCGTCTGACAAAGGTTTTTTTTTCTTTATCGAAAGGGTGAATTGCACTATAGCAAAGGGTGCTTCTTGCTTTTTCACATCGCGCTCAGGTATTTGAATTTCGATTCAACAAAAATTATCCTCATCACGACTATAGATAACAACGAATTTAATTTCTATCGTGTGTTTTTTGCTGATTTCGTACATTCTGTGGTGATTATCCAGAAATTCCTTCACTTAATGAAGCTTGATTAAAACATCTTTTTGCGAGGAAGCCTCATTAGAAATGGAAGACGCTAAATTCTCCGGCGGGAATGATTCAACTCTTTCGTTTCTCATTATTTAGCTTCTCTTGCCAACGACGTCACTCTTTCGCTTCTCTTGCGTAATTACTTTTTGGACATTTCAATTCTTAATCTTTAATTTCATTCTTATTTTATATGTAGAAAATTGTGAATAATTCAATATTCAATTTATTAGGATCAGTCTTGAGTTCTTTGATATTTTTATTTTATGACCACGAAAGCAATATTCAATCTTCTTTTGAAATAACACGATTACTCTTGGTTAGTTTTGTTATTTTTTTTTCATAAAAATTTATATAAATTTTAATTATTTCGCATCACGATTAATTTGTAATAACTCTGCATTGACATTTAAAGAAAGTCCGCATTTAGTTTTACCGACGGGTTTGGCGAAAGAGTTAATTAAACGCACTTGTAATGAAATTCATAACATTACACAATACTTTTCGTCCTTTTGTGTACAACAATGCAATATTTTAGGTGCAAAATCTGTTTAAAAATTCATAAAAGCAATATAAAAGTATTTTTCTGTGTCTACAATATGACTAGATCCAGATGCTTCGCACGAGAAAAATATCTCGTTATGGAATTTTATTGTCTTGGTTTAAATTTGTCGCTTGAATACACTTATTTATGTAAAATGAATTAATTCACACGGTTATCAAAATTAAAAATAGAACAAAATGTGAAACTGTGAATTTGGCTCTAAGAGTAATTTTTTTTTAATCTAATAAACTCTAAATACTCCGTAAGTGGCAAGTGCATCTTATATTTAAAAGCTATTATTATTCATGGGGTTTAATAGAAGAAAATTGTTTTATTATTTTCGACAGAAGAGTCTATTTTTGAGTAATAATGCACTAAATAAATGTGCACACACTATAATAATTTAAAATCCTTTAACAATTCAAAAAAAAGTTTCTAATTTCCTTTTTTTCTGAATTGTAAATTGTGAAAAACCGATGTTATTGGTGATATTCGTCAACACACCGTGTAAAGAACACTTGAGAGCTTTACTTGGAATCTATTTTTAATGTTAAAATATACTTGTTTTGTTAATTATTGTTTTGATTTTTCTTACATAATTTAATGCAAAAGCGGAAGCCAGAGAAATATTGGTTAAAACCTTGCGCCGTTCTGGAACAGATTCATTTGAAATGTCATAAAATATTCAATTTCTTCTAATGGAAAAATTCCAAGAAGAAAACCTTCTAATTTTTCTGCCCCAAATTAACTTGTCTTAAACATGCTAAAAGTCTATTTTGAATATCACAAACTGAAAATAAATATCCTATTCTAAAAGGATTGCGTTGTGTAATGTATTGTATGCAAAAGTTCCTCTTTGAAAACATGTTATTGTACTATTTTAAACATTCACGACTTATTATATTCGAATGAAAACATGTTTTTTTTTCTAAATGAAAAGTGACCAGAAGGGTTGTTTGCTGACCCACAGATCCTCTAAGCCATATTGTCCCTGCGCCACAATTGTGCAGCAATCACGACTGTCAACACTATTTAAACTGGCCCTTCATCATCCCTGATCAGCCCCTGATGGCCATTAAAAGGCAGTAATTAGCCTGGACCCTCGGCGAGAGGGCGCGATGGGTGAGGGTCAGCCAGTGTCCGGTCAAGGGGTTGAGCGGCGCCTGATAGAGCCATAATTGGTCACTGAGGAATGACCTGTGCAACTATCAAATGGATATCCCTTCGGAGATAGCAATTAGGAGTGTTTTTCAGCTGGGCTGAAATGCTGGCTCTCGCGGTGGAGGGAAGTTTAAAAAGCGGAGAAGAAGCTGAGCCTCGCGTCCCCTCGTCTTGGCATCCTTCCACTCCTCTCGCTCTCGCCCACCCCCTTCGATGGTCGTTCGCGGGCGAGCGAGAGAGAGACCGTGGGGCGAAAAAGAAAATGAAGAAGATGAAATAATGAGAAAGTGTTATGCAGATGAGTTAGAGGTTTTCCTCTCAGCCCACCCCTCATGATCCCACTCTTCCTCATCCACTTTCTTTGTGGGGCTCCGCCGTTCCTCCCCGCGCACCCCCCTCGGCCCCATGTCAATGCTCTCTCGCCTTCTGGACTTTGGGGGAGGACTCGAAATGAAATAAAATCGACTCGTGCAGTCTCTCGCTCGCTCCTTCATCCACACAAGGAGGAGAAGAAACACATCACACACACTCCCCCCCGGCCCACCCCCGGCTTCACTAATTTAAATGTTGGATATATAGCTTCTTCGCCGCTGGATGTACGTATGTATGGGCTCATGGCAGAAAGAATGGCTGTGGAGGATTTTAAAACGCGCGGGCTTAAATGAGTTGAAGGGGTCGCGCGCGCGGAGGCGGGTGATCCGGGGGTGTAGAGCAAAAAGAGTCAACAGTGGAGGTGGTAAGCAAGAGTGAGTGAGAGCAGAAGACTTTAATTCGCACCTTTTGATTAAAATCAATACTTTGTATATTTCACGTCTCTCCTATTTCGTATGTCCCTCTCATTTCTCCCATCCAGGCTTTCTTCTTAATTTCTCCCCTCCCCAGCGCACACTTTTTTGCCCACTTCATCCCACCCACATGGAAGCCACCACCCCCTTTAGCATCCCACATCCATTTCCTTTTTGCCCTTCCGCGCCTCCGCCACACTTGTATATATTGCGTTTCTTTCTCCAATTTTATGAATATGACAAGGAATAATTATAAAATGTTCACATAGCACACAGCCAGTGAGTAGATATATCGCAACACTAAAGTATAAATGGAATGTAAATACAAGGAAGAAAATAATAAAAATGCCCTGGTAAACGCCCTCAGCTCACAACACTGTGCGCTTCCACTGCCAGCCAGAAGGCATGGAAGTTGTCTCGTCGCCTTATCGAAATAGTTTCTCTATTTCACAATAATGATTTTGAGTTTGAATTTGCAGATTGTGATGATTGAGAGAGACATATTTCGCAGAAGAACCGCCCATTTGGAAGCTCCGCCTTCAGCTCTGACTGAAATTACTTGAATGGAATAACAGAGATTTCAACTCTTTTTGCGTGCTTTTCTAAATGTCGCACAATAGATTTTGTGACTGTTGCGCAGCCAATGAGTTGTTTCTCTTACATGAACGATTTGGTCGACTGAACAGACAAGATGATCAATTTATGAGTTCTCTGTAAAATAGTTAAAATATTCTAAATATTTTTATTTTTTAATACATATTTTAATTGGAAGATAAAAAGAAATTTGAAAATATATTAATAATATTATAATATAAAATGATATGGCAATAATATATAATTTATTTGTCTGTACTTCGGTGTTAAAAATTAAAGCAAATTATTTCAAAAGGATATAAGAAGCCAAAAAGAAAAAAATTAGTTTTTATTGATAATTCTATTTCAAAGACAGATATTGCTTATTAAGAACGCTCAAAATATTTTCCACTTTTGCTGAAATAAAGTCCACAATCGTGGTTTTTTCATGAGACACAATAGCTGTGCCACGTTGATGAGATGACCCAACTAAAAAGTATACATGTATGAAGGAGCGAAAAAAGGGTCGTGCGAGGAGGAAATTTTTGGAGAAAATTCTGCACGAAAATGAATAGATATTGATTAATTTTTCCTCAGACCCTCCTTTCTTGCTCCCCCATCAATTCCCGCCCTCGCGGCGAACTCCAACTGAAATTAAATGCAGATATGGTGAAAAAGGCAAAAGAGGCCAACTTCCTAAACATTCCAATAGATATTCAATTAATAGATAATTAATATTGGTCACGATACTTGTGAGCACATCAGGTACAATTCATTCACTCGTAAGCGTGCGGCTTCTCGGCCACGCACGGAAGCTCTTCCTTCTCTCTCTCTCTCTCTCTTTGTGTCGCTTTCGCTCTCACAAATTGCACTTCGTTAGGATAATTGAACTATCATGGTCGTCGACAGTGTCCGAGGAGAGGAGAAGAAGGATTATCTGCGGTTGGAGACAATCGCCTCAGGCTCGATGATGCAGTAAAATGGGAATTTAGTCGAGGTTTCTGCACAGATTGAAATCTTCTTGTCATACTTTGACCCATAAAGCATCAAATTGCTGCTGTGGATGCCGCGAGTCAATTAATTTTTGAGATTTTTGCTCACTTTGGAGGTTATGATGCCTGTAAAACACCACTCAACAGTTTCTCTGAATTCAAATAAAATCTTTTTTCATCGCAGTCCCGTACAAATGGCATGTTTTAGTATTTTACCACTAATCTCTGAGATTCATTTTGAGAAATTGCCTAGGAAGTCTAAGAAAACTATCATCTAGAAGGTTTGGCGCATTCTTCATTCATCCGGGAACGTCTACACCAACGCCATCCGGTGGGCATTCTGTGCATCGAAATCATACAAAAACTGTCAGATGATTGCCAAGAAGGGTGACAGGAAGTGAAAAACAAAGCAAATTACAGTGAAAAAGTCCTCAGGACAATGTATAACTTCAACGGTGACTTCCGGAGGCGTCCTGAGCAAAATTTCAGCGGCCAGTCACGGAAGCCCGACCGTGATTCCGTGATCAGGCGGGCGCAAGTGGAGAGATTGAAGCGAGAAGAGGCTCGACAGCAGGAGACGAGCGCCTTCATAATCCAGTCCTTCTTCCGCAGCTACTCACACAGGCAGCGCGTGAAGGCATCTGAGAGGTGCAATTTCGATGCCTTCGTGCCCGCCCACAATGTTCGGGTCACGACACAGCAGCTGGACTATCTCTTGCAAAGATTCATCTTCTTTTTCGATCACTCACGAACTGACGACTGTCAGCGATTGGTGAGTTGTGTTGCGCACTTCCTGTCCGGATGACTTGCACATTTTCGCTTCTCTTGCAGCTGCGAGTGTGTGAGCTGATCATCCAGGATCCCAATGTGGTGTTCCACAGTGTCTTGTGCGACAAGATCTGGAAATATCGCCTACAGAGACTCTTGCTGATCGCCTTGAGGCAATTGCACGCTTCCGTGAAGAGTCCTCCAGGAGTTCTCCTCCAGATCTATGAGATCTTCATTGCCAACGATGCTCCAGCGCCGTGGCATCAGATTGTCATTGATTTGCTGCAATATCTGCTCCAGAGGAACTTCTTCCTATATCTCAGGACCATCATTGACAGCCAAAGTGGACTGATTCCCACAAATCCGGCTGACATTTCGCCAAATCTCCCCTGCTTCCGCTACCTCCAGCTCACCATGAAGCCCCTGTATCTCCTCCAGTGCACAGACGATGATGTGTTCAGCGTCACTGTGCTGTCAAACTTCCTGCGACACATCTTGAGTCCCGAACTCACGAGATCCAGCAAGATTCTCCTGCTTCCGTATTTTGTCACCTGCAAGAAATTCCCATACATGAAGTTCCTCACATATCTCTCGTCACTGTCATCGCCCGACGGCAGCCACCTCTTCTCCAGCTCACTGCTGTACTCCCTGCTCTACCTGGATCGCCACTATCTGGACCTGGTGAGGAGTGTGGATACAAAGTCGCACTATCTGCGCAGCCTGTCGAGGATCCTGCAAGCCAGTGTCTACAATTTTGTTGAGAGGCGCCTGGAGGGACAGATGGAGGGTCAGAGTGACTCTGACGAGGATGAGGACGTGCCTGTGACGATGAGCGAAGTGAGTGTGGAGGAAGAGGCGCTGAGAGAGAGTGTGAAGATCCTGGGAGATGTGCGTCACATGAACAAAATCGCAGAGTTTGTGGACTCTCTGGTGGATGATCACGAAGCCATCTCAGCCACATGCCACATTTGCAACAGCCTCATGATTTACGGCAGAATGTCCGCGTCAGGATCCAGTCATCTGTGAGTTCATCAACACTGTTCAATTCATTCTAGACTGTTCTTTTATCGTCGTTTCTTTTTCTCCAGATTGCTGAGAATCCTGGCAGAGAGATCGAAGTTCATCCGCGCCATTTGGTTCAGCGTCGATCAGCTGAGCAAGTCCTTCGGCGGCTCCTTCACGAGTGCCATTGTGAAGTGTGCAGAGAGCTCTGTTCCCCTCCTCACCACCTTCTGCACACTCCTCAGCCAGAAGGTGTCCACACTGCACGACGAGGAGTTCATAGCGGGTCACGAGGTGGACAGCCCGATGCCCTTCAATGTGGACCAACTGATTGAGGTGAGCCACAAACTCACGACACTGTGTCTGGAGCTCATCGATCTGGCGTTTCCCGAGACGAAGATCACGCTGAAGAACAACTACAAGCCCATCATCGATCCGTCGGGCGGGCGAGTGAGTGAGACGACGATGGAACTGGAGAGAAACACCAAGTGGCGCCACATCTTCAAGGTGTGCGTGACTCTGCTGCGGCAGATTTACAACAGAGACTTGCGCCTCAGCTTCTGTCCGGCGAATCACTGGGAGATTCCCTCCTTCAATCTCGTGATGGACAAGAGTGCGAATGTGTTTTATCTGCAGCAGAGCGTTCAGGAGGATCTCATTCCACTGAGCACGCCCAGCGGCGCGTCGGGCAGCGATCAGATGCCGACGATAGACAACGGCGGTATTCCCATGACAGCCAAGCAGATCAGATCGATAAAGATCCTGAAGGAGATCCCGTTCACCATCTCCTTCAACATTCGCGTGGTGATGTTCCAAGAACTGCTGGCGGTGGACAAAATGAGGGCTCAGGGTGAGTCTCATCGGTTCTTCGTGGAGCCCCGAGTGCACATCACAGTGCGACGATCGCATCTCTACGAGGATGCCTTCAACAGTTTGGCTTATGAGAATGGTGAGCATTTTCCCGCTCTTTCCTTACCTGCCTTAACTTCTCCTCTCTGTCTTTCAGAGCCTGATTTCCATGGGAAATTCAAGGTTCAAATGATAAATGCTGCCGGACTGGAGGAAGTGGGAATCGATGGTGGTGGAATTTTCCGGGAATTTCTGTCGGAACTGCTGAAGACGGCCTTCGATCCGCATCGTGGCTTCTTCATGATCACCACGGATAACAAATTGTACCCAAATCCGGGCGCTGGGAAGATCGTGGAGGACTTCAAGGAGCACTATTACTTCATCGGGCGCGTCCTGGGCAAGGCGCTGTATGAGAATCTGCTGGTGGAAGTGCCACTGGCCGATTTCTTCCTCTCGAAGCTCGTCAGCAAATACTCAGATGTGGACATCAATCAGCTGGCGTCTCTCGATCCTGTGCTGCATCGCAATCTGCTGTCGCTGAAGGCGTACGACGGCGACGTGAGTGAGCTGGGGCTGGATTTCACGGTGGTGTGCGAGGAGCTAGGCGAGACGCGCGTGGTGGAGCTGAAGCCCAACGGGGGCAACATTTCGGTGTCCAATCACAACCGAATGGAGTACATCCACTTGATGGCGGACTACAAGCTCAACCGGCAGATCAGGCCGCAGTGTCTGGCGTTCCGCGAGGGGCTGCAGAATGTCATTCCCACGGAGTGGCTGTCGATATTCAGCAATAAGGAGCTGCAATTGTTGATTTCCGGCGCTGAGCACTCGATTTGCGTGCAGGATCTCAAGTGTCACACCAAGTATGGCGGCAACTATACAGCGGATCATCCCACGATTGTCCTCTTCTGGCGAGTCATTGACAGCTTCACGGACATCCAGAAGAGACAATTTCTCAAGTTTGTCACCAGCTGCTCCAGGCCACCACTCCTGGGCTTCCGGGTATTGCTTTTCTTTCTCTCAATGCGTCTTTTTAATCTGTCTCTAATCCAGGGTGTTTTCTCCTTGCAGGAACTCGACCCACCTTTTTGCATACAGGATGCTGTGAACACAGAGAGACTCCCGTCGGCGAGTACGTGTCTCAATCTCCTGAAACTGCCCCCATTCCAGAATGAAGAGACCCTCAGGATGAAGTTACTCTATGCTATTGACAGTGGTTCAGGTTTTGAGCTTAGTTAATTTATTTTTTCTTCCGCGTAAAACCCATCGTGTATTTCGAAAGATTTATTCAATAAATTGTCGTGAGATGTCCGTGGGAACTAGCGAGCATCAAATACCACCACTGGAAAGAGAGAGAAGTGGAGACAATCAGGGGACATTTCTTTGGGAATCCGGAAGTGTACTTACATCTCTTTGTGCGCTTCTTGTACATGATTCTGTAGCCACACTCACGGCAACGGATGGGATCACGCGGTCGCATGTCGTTCTCGTGATGACACTCTGGAAATATCACGGAAAAGTGAGAAAAATCCACACTGAAGACCAATAACAGAAAACCTAACCTCCACAAACATACACCATGGCGGTTTTTGTCACCGCAGAGTCCTTCGAAGTGCTGGGTTCACTCATGTTTCAGCTGAGGGACTCTAGAGGTACTGTTGTACACAATATTCACTTGTAATTTTCCGGTATTTCCCTATGATTTTCACGAAAAAACAGCAGAAGACGCTCAATGCGCTTTATTTGTTTACCAAACTGACGAAATGTCTGCCACTAGAGGCGTTGCCAGCGCGCTGCTTCCCGTGGAAATTCTTGCGGGGAAATAATTCAAAATTCCATCCGTTAGTTTGCATTAAGCTTTTCGTCACTTTATTTTTGTTTCGCTTTTTTCGAGAAAGATAATCTTTCTATCTATAAAAATGGACAGTTATGGATAATTGTTCTTTTCTCACAAATGTATATAATATTTTTTTGTATAAAAAACTATATCGTAAATATGACATTTTTTTTTTTCAATGTAAAAGCACATTTTTGTCTTTGTTTTTCCTTTTCTTTCACAATTGCTCGCGATATATTGTAATTTTCTGTTGAAATATTTTTTTCTTTTGTTATCTCCCACAAAATGGACATTTATGAGTTAAGAAAAGCCACACAAAAAGACCCATTAAAAGCGTGTTTTTAATATTTGAATGCACAATGTGAATTTATGGATCACATCTTGAGGCAGAGAAGCGATAAAAAACATTCTTTCACACATTTAGCTTTGTTTTTTTTTGGTTTCAACGCCACTTAATTCTCCATTCTTGCACGTGATTAGGTTAATAATTTAATTATTAAAGGTAAGCATAAGCACAAGGTGATGTCAACAGAAATTCTGTGATTATAAGTTAAATAGAGAAAAAATGTAACACAGTTTTTTTTGTTGTTGTGATAAAACAGAAACTAGAGATAAACTACAATATTTCTCCTTTCCGTCTTAAACTTAGTGGTAATCTTTACAAGTTAAGAACTAAAAATAACGACTCAATACAAATTCTAAAAAGTGTGTGATTTTGATTTTAGGATTCAATAGGATTTCTTCATTTCTCCATTTGGCAAAAACTATTCCCTAAACACAATTACAATAGTTACAATTGTTTATATCAACTATCTTGGTTCATCTCATTAAAGTTTTGTGTGTTTCTCTTTCTCCTAAGAAAAATCAGTCCTTTTTTTTCTATATAACCCTTGATTGACTTTGACAAAACGCCAATATCCCACCCTAAATACACTTTCTTTCTCTAAATTATACACTTAAACGAACTAAATATTAAACTAAATTCTTTCATAACGTTAAGTAAAAAGGTTCTGATATTAAAATTCTCGTTGAAAGACTTGAGCATATATCTTTTCATCCTTTCTCTCTCTTTTTTCTTCTTTTTCATGATAAAAAAAATTGCGTACAACACATTTGCTCTCTCTTTCTCTCTGGAGCTCTAAAAGTAGTACAATAGTAGCTAAAAATTCTCAATACTTCCTCTCATCCACTTAAGTACAATTCAAGCTGCTTTCGTTGCATTCTGACGAGGTAATTGGAAAATTCACACGGCCGAGTTGCGCCCAATCAGTTCGCCGCTGCGCGAATAAGTCATGGTGCCGTCGTAATCCACGGAAGACGGGATGAACTTCACGCCGCCATTGGCGGCCACATTGTTCAGCGGCTGATTCTCCTGATCGTCGTCCCTGTTGAAGATGATAAAGAAGCTAAAGTGTTTAATTGTTTATCATCTCCATCACTGTGCATTTCATGCAAACAAACACACAAATTCTCTCCCGCGGCAATCGTGAGAAAGAGGCTGAAAGCATGCAAATTTTGATGAAAATTCTGTTAAAGACACTGCAAGTGTGCCGAACAGTCAATAACTGTGGAAAATACAGAGTCGATGAATTAAACTGACAACTTATGAGGTAAAATTGTGATTTATCCACTTAAATATTTTCTTTAATCATATTTTAACGCACAATTTTAGAAGAAATATTCTATAAAATCCAATTTTAATATGTTTTACATGAAGTTCGCAAAACGTTTTCAACTTAATAATTGTCAAATCACATTAAAAAAAAACCTCATTTTCTTCAGTACTGAAGAGCTAAAGAAATCGTGAGTAAATAAATATGAAGATGTGCCAAATCATCAACAAAGTGTATTAGAAATAAAAGGTATTAGTTTTTGATATGATCAAAAGGAAATTTGTCCTAAATTTCAGAAGTGACCTAATCAAACTTTCGCTACTGTATATTGTCAGTTCAATTGTCCATCTGTGTGGCAAAGAAACTCTATCAAATTTCCCATCAGTTGTTGTCCCTCGGCGGCTACTGTTTTGCTGTGTTTGGGGGAAAAGAGCGTGTTGAGATGTGATTTGCTTACAAGGGTGTTAGTTTGGGTGGTGTTAGGCCCATCTTGAGTGACGATGGCGACGGCAGGGGAGACGGCGAGGGCTCCTTCACGAGGCTGCTGCTGCAATAAGGAAGCGGGAAACGCCACCCGTAAAGACTATCGCGCGAGAGTGCATTCGAGTGTGTTAGAATGATGGGACACAACGACATAAAGAATGGTAAGAATTCTTAGAGAGAGAGAATGTTTAACCCAATGTCAGAAGCATGCTTTCTTCTCTGTCACCAATTTCACCGGGTATCATTTCACCAACTCACCTGCTGAACTTGTTGTCATCATCGATGTCCCTGGACGGCGAGGACTTGTTGCCACTCTGCCTGATGGTGGCCAGCAGGCCAATGTTGCAGATCTTGCAACATAGCAAATCCATTATGATGAGCAGCAGCAGAACGCCGCCCACGGCGATGGCGATTATCGCCACAGACGAGAGGATGGGATCGTCTTTCCTCAACACCACATCGCCACCTGCGCGCGAAAAGGAGTGGCGCCGGAAGGGGGAAGAGAGCGAGGCGGAAGAGAAGAATTATTGCATTGAGTTAAATAAAAATAATTCAGTTAAACAGAAATCACATTTTGCTTCACTTGCAGACATTGAGACATTTACGCACAGAGACACAGAAATTATACAAATTATTCTAGCATTTTGTTTAGCCACAGGAAAAAAGAGAAAAAAAAGAAACATGAAAACCACCAACCAAAGCAACAGAAAATCTCTACACCAATTAATTCAATGTTATAAAATGCCGAGAAACAAAAACTCTGGTCAAACGACGAGAGAAAAGAAGAAGAAAAAAAGACACGAAAGATTTGGCAAAGAATAAAAATTAAACAAAGTATTTTCTTCAATCAACTCTCTATTAATATCGTCCAATGTCAAACAATCACTTAAAAAGACACTTCATAATGCTTCATAACTAATCATATATCTCCAAAATATGTCATCCTTTCCCTAATATAATTTGCGCAAGAGAACACTTGAGATTTTATTTATAGCTTGACTTAAAAATATCATCTCATCATTTTTTTTTCTCTCCTAGTTTGCGATAAACTCTGCTTTTCGCCATCAAAATTTCTGTCTTTCTCGCTCTTTCATCATCGCAACTTTGCATTGATTGAATATTGTCATAACAACACATTTTCTTTAACTCTTCTTGATGAGGCGTCAAGTGGAGATTCTTTTAAGTAAATATGATTGAATCATTTCAATATTATAAGTAGATTGTTAACAACTACATTTTCCACACAGTTGGATAAATTCTTTCTTTTCCCCTTTGCAGCTCATAATTTACACAAATTTCTTGTTTTTATTTTGTTTGCACTACAATTACAGATTTTGATTTTATCTCTCTCTTATTTCTTAAAATGTTTCAACTGTGAAATTTCATTTCACAGCAAAACCTCAGGCAAGACATCTTTCCTGTGCTCAATACGCTTTATACTCTTGTTTATTCTATTAACCTATCGCAAAGAGACAACTTTGGAGGATAAATAGAAGAATATTTATGTGATTTCGATAGAAAAAAAATTATGTTTATAGAAATTGAAGTTTTCAGTGATATTCGATGAAAATGCAGAATATCATCGTAAATTTATTGTATTAAATGCAATCTAAATAAAGTCACTTTTATCACATTATAGCGAACAAAAATAGCATAAAATCTGTTTCTTCAAACTGAATTTGCCATCAATTTTATCGACAGCTTGAAATTGATGCAAAAAGGCACTTTGAAAAATAGGAAAGAATTCGCCTTTCTCGCAACTACAATTGTATTATACAAAATAGCAATGATAGTAAATACTTTCGTGTAATACACAAAAATGTCGTAAAACTGGCAAAATATGAAACATTTCCAAATACACACAATTGACATGAAGACAATGAAAGAAACAATCATTCGATATTTATCCCTTCAACAATCCATAACATGTAGCAAACGAAAAATGCTCTGAAAAAGCACTAAAACGATCGGTGGTTTCCATTTAGCCAAATATTTACCCTAAAACTGTTTACATATCGAATGAAAAGAATGAAAAAAAAATCTACTATTACCGTGAAATGACTTGAGACGTTTGGTGCCTTTATAAACACATCACTCAACATTCTTCTAATCATCCTCACACTGTTGTCAGCACGTTTTATCTCATCCTAACGAAAATGATCATTTAGCGATATAGGAAAAAACCATGTTTTAAAATTTGTAATAATAATTTTTTTCAAAATGACAAATTCATTTAAGAAGAATTGATAAAGATTTTCTCGTCCTTTTGGTTAGCATAATTTTCACAGTGTTTTTCTCATCAAATTTCTCTCTTTCTCTCTCTACACAATATTCTTGAAATTCTTTCTCTCTTCTGTTCTTCATAAGATATGGTGTTATATTTTTTCTTTACTTTCTTTTTAGTGTGCTTCACATATCATTACATATCTCTCTCTATCTCTTCTTTCTTCTTCAACACACACACTTTTACCAGCCAGAGCAAAAGTCTCTATGGTTTTCATTTCATGATTTTTATGCGTCTGTCACCACACACCAGAAAAATCTAGCATCATTGCGAATGCAGAACAGCTGGCAGAGTTGAAACTGAGAGCAGGACAATGAATCCGTGAAAGAGAGCGGATGGCCATTGATATGTGACACCCAGTGAGTGTGCGTTGAAATAATTTCCTAATTGTATCAGATGAAAAGAGAGGCGCAAGAAGTACAAAAACATGGTGAGCAGAGGAGGAAAAATGAAAAAGAATGGATTATAGACTAAATAGAGAACATCAAATATGAGTGAAAATTGCTCCCAATGGCACGGAATGGTTAATTTTCAACGCTACAAAATCACTCTTTTTTCTTCTCCGTCTTTCTTCTCACTACAGAACATCATCCGCACTAAGTGAATGGAGTTGGTAATTAAATGATTTTTGTGCTTGAATTTCTCTCTCTCTCTCTCTTGCTTTCAATTAAAACTGCAGTGGTGAGATACATGTTGATTAATTATAATGAGAAAGAAATAAAAATTATCATAGGATGTGAATCTTCTCAATTAATGCTGCCAATTAATTTTCATAAAATATGGAATGGACAGACTAAGTGAGAAACATACTGAAAATGGTGTGTGATGATGATCATATTTAGCTGCCAACTTCTACAGTCAAATAATAAAGAATCCAACAACTCTCTCTCTTCTTTCTCTCTCTCTCTCTCTCTGAGCATGAACACAAGACATTACAAAATTAAAAAGAAAAAGAGTATTGAAAATACTTTGCGCAAAAGTAATGGTAAAAAAAAATTTCATACAGCTATTATGCGAGCACATGAGTAAAATCCTACGAAAATCATAAGAGGTTACAAGAGCACGAGCAGCACACTGTGAGACAGCACAAGCAAGACAATCCACGGGGAGGATGCTGCTGTATGCATGGCACGTCCGTCGGATGTGTCGACGGACGCCAGGCTGGATTGATACAGCAGCGTACCCAAGTGCCTCGGCGACGAGAACTCACCTCTGGCCGTCTTTATCATGAGACTCGCCGGCTCCGAAAAGCCGATGGCATTGTGCGCCCGCAACTCCGTCCTGTAATACGTGCCCGCCTGCAAGCTGCTCATGTCGTACGCCGTGGCTTCGCTGGCGTGAATGTCACGCGTCACACACAATTCACCCGTCTCGTGCCACTCACCGTTCACCTTCACACCCTGCAACACATCAAGAGGAGAAAACGATGAAGGGTGTCAGTCTCAAGGGACACCCCTCAAATGCTCGACATTTCCTCCCCATCAATAAATGATTTGATGTTGGGAGAGATGAGATTGCATCAGAGCTGAGAGCATTCTGACACACTGGATAAAGAGAGGGGCTAGAAAAATTGTATATTTTATCATGTTTTCACCCTCTGGCGTCTCTTGGTGTCATTTTTATAAGGAATTTAAACAATTTTCCCACTCTTTCATCACAATTTACCAATTTTACACTTTAGAACTTGAGTATAGAGTCAAAATAAAAACAGAATTCAAAGATCTCCTTCATCTTTGGAATGAAATTTATCTATAGTCTACAAAATGCTCTCAACTCTGTCAAAATATGCTTAAGAATGAATAAACTCACCGGACAATAGCGCAGTTGGTAGAAATCAATCAATTCCCCATTGTTCGGCGGAACGCTCCAGCGCATCTCAAAGTGATCAGCATACGGAGACATCACCATCGGATCCGCCCCATCTTCCGCCTCCGAGTCGTCAATAGGATTGTGCAGCAGACGCGGCGGTTCAGGCTCAGAGCGTCGCGGTGTCGATTGCAACTTGTACGCACTCCACTGGCCCAATCCCACCAAATTGCGCGCCGCAAAGCGGAAATTGTAGGTGGTCTGCGGAAAGAGACCCTCCACAATGTACGGACTGTCCGGTGACCATGTTCTGTTGAAGGCATTGTTCCAGTCACGATCCAACTCCCTGATGTACTGCACTGAGAATGCCGTAATTGGCATTCCCAACTCCACCGGCGGCGCTATGATGTCGAATGTGATGCTGGTGGCTGTGACAATGCGCGGAATGGCCTGAGGAATGGCGTCGGGGATTCGGGCTAGCTTCAGCTGCATGATGTGCTCACTGCGTCCCAATCTGTTGCTGGCAATGCACTTGTACGCCGTGTAGTAGCGATTGTCAACGGGTGTCACGATCAAATCACTCCTGGGTCCGCTGCCCTGAATCTCAAAGTTCCTGTCGTACAATTCCGTGATGAGACGCTCATTGAGACGCCACTCGATTGTGGCATTGGGAATACCCTCTGCCAGACAGCTCAGATTCACCGGTCGCTCCTCCCAGCTGAACACCGGCGGCAGTGTCTTCATGTAGTCAAATGTGGGCGGATATTCGACAGCAATGTGACCCACTTTGAAGGCACTCTCGCCCTTATTCCTCGCCACACACTCATACAATCCATCATCCGTGCGATTCACGTCCAGAATTCTCATTGTGCCACTCGATTCGCCACGTTCATCGTCAAACGACTGCTCAAGCACGATGCGATCGTCATTTGGCTGCGGTCCAGGCACTAATTCCTCCTTGGAGCCCCATCGACTGGTCAGACGAAAGAAATTATTCACATTTTCGAGATCTTATCATCAATTGTGTATATTTCTTCAATTGAAGCCAATTTATTACTATGCCGATAAGAAAATCTATACCATGAAATTAATATATTTGCGCGAAAATAGTTAAATTTTGCCATATAAAATCATCAACTGGAATATCTTCTCAAATCTATCATTAATCAACTCAACAATCTCAATGGGAAGATGTATACGAACACGAGGGAAACAAGCGAGAGATGATTGAATGACTCACCGGAATGTGATGAGCGGCGGGGGACGTCCTGTCGCCTTGCAGAGCAACTGCCCCTCCACCTTCACCGCCACTGTTGTATTCCACAGTTCGTAAATCCTCGGGCGAATGACGACATCAAGGAGGGTCTGAGACTGCGACACTCCGGCGGCATTCTTGGCGATGCACGTGTAATAGCCATAGTCATCCTTGTCCACTGTCAGAATATTCATCTGACCCGTGATAGAATTGACAATGAACCTGTCCGCTTGCGCCACATTCCGCTGATCAATTGACTTCACCCACGTGAATTCCGGCACAGGCTTCCCAGTGGCATTGCAGAATGTGGAGAAGCCCTGACCCTCCACAGTCTCCAGTACACTCGGCAATCCATAGATTTGCGGCTTTATCTGCACCTCAACGCGAATGCTGCGCTCCACGAGTTCTCCTGTCTGAATCACAGCCGCACGACAGGTGTAAATGCCATCATCAGCTTCCTCAACGCTGCGAATCAGAAGTCCATGCGTTCGCACCACATAGCGATCGCCCGTCTTGATGGGATCCCCATTCCTCAGCCAGTCAATGGACGGCGCCGGTCTCGCCGTCACCTCACACTTCACCACATAGTCCGAGCCAAGGATTGGATACTGATTCTCCGGCGCGTCCTTCCACGTGATCGCCACATACGTCTCAATGCGCACCGACTGCACCATCAGCTCCGTGTTGGCGTACGACGCCGTGCAGTAGTACGTGCCCGCCATGGTGTCCGTGAGCACGGGAATAAGCAGGGCCAAGCTCTGGTCCCCAGGAAGCACTTCCGTGTACATCGGAGGCGGCTGTTGGCCCGGTCTGCCACACGCACACACAAAGAAAAACCCCACATTAATCACCCTCCTCAAGAGCTCGAGAGTTTGTGCTTCGCAGCGCGCAAATCACAACACAACAAGAGGAAAATATCATCGGGTATTTGCTCGCAATTGGCATTTCTCTGTTAGACCAAACAATCATCATGGAGATTATTTATTTATCGGCGGGCGCAATGGTAACACATTAAAATGGGAAACGATGAGGAGCGCGCGGTTGCTCGGCAAATTCGTGCTTGTCTCGCCTCTTACCCAGCTTTCAATTAATCCCTCGAACACACACACTTTACGCCATCGAGATTTACGACCACCAAATTCCCCACTTAAATAATCATAAAAAAAGAAGAAGAACGTGTGGCTCAATAGGGAGGTTTATATTGCATATTTGCACCAATTGAGAAAGTGTGTAAAGCCATAATTTTTTCGCCTGTCTCATATTTTCTGTCTAAACATTTTTATTAAAACATTTTAGGGATAAAAGAGAACAAACTATAGGAGAAATTGAACAATGTATGGGGATTTTCGCAAGATGCTAGATTTAACAAACAACTCTAATAAAGACTTTAGATTTTGTCTACACTCCAATTTGTTATGATTTTGTGTATTTTCTTGTAAGAGAAATGTTATGTTGAAAATTTCTTATTAGATAAATTCCTAAGAGAATTAGAAAGTCAATTGTTTGCAGTATTTTATCCCATTTTATTGACTAATGCTGAGTTTCTTCAATTCTCTGAATGATTAAACACTCCTCGTAATTCATAAGAAAATTGCTCTTCTGATGCTCGAGTATGCCAAGCATTGTTCTTAGCTTCTCGATTTGCTACAAACGAGCATTGAATATTACTAGAGACGGGATGAATTAGAATGATTCACGCTTGAAATTCACATCACGTGCGTCACACTGTCGAGACTCTTGTTGTTATTCCAAAAGCCGCCTTGCAAATTTACTCCACAAGACTTTCTCTTCCTCTCTTCCTCTCTTTCTCTCTCTCTGAAAAGCCCCAACAAATTACTTATCCCATAAGCGAGAATTTGGCTCTCGAGCGGTCAATTTCCTCAATTGGCGCCCAATGGCGCGAAATTCCTTTGTCTTGCCGGACAAGCACGAACTCTCCGAGGCACTGGCAAACCTTCTCGTGGGGAATTTCATTCAAGAGGAGAGAGAATCGCATGCCACACAGTTCCGCATAGATTGGCGATATGGACTGAGGCGTCTCAGGGCGTTAAATGGAAATGCTGGTTTATATGTTGAATTGAATTGTGAGGAATGGGGCAAATGAATGGGTCACAATGCAAAGAACAGCAGAAAAAATACATGAATTTATCGTGTTAGAAGAAATTGTGAACACGCTGATGATTGTGTGTCCATCAGTGGAGGCGGATTAACAAGAGGCAAACTAGAGTAGAGAGGATTTCTGACCAGAAAAGAGGGCGCATTGATGGAATGATTATACTCATGTGCAACACAACACGATAGACAAACCAAGAGAAAAGGGGCATCGCTTTGTTCACTTACTTCACCGGCAATCGATTCCCGGATGAATCGTACAGTGGGCGGTAATATTCGATCCTGACAATTATTTATTTACAAATTTAACAAAAATCGTGATAAGAAGGAGCGTTGGTGGCGGAAAAAGTGCAAGATTGACGCATTCCTGGCGAGATAAGCTCATCTATCTTGCGCTCTTTCGTCTATCGCCACTGGGAAATTTGATCTTCTCTCAGCGGGAAGTGAGAGAATTTCATGTGAAGACAAGTGGGCGGGGGAGGATTAGGAGATGATGAGAAAAGCACTCACGGTTTGGGCAGAACAGTCATGTTCTGGTCGTCTTTCCACTGAAGATCCGACACCAAATTCACATCTGGCACATTTGGCCGACAAGTGAGCATGAGGGATTTTCCCACGGGCTTCCGCTGAATCGACTGCATGGGCAGTATCTCCAAATGGGGCTGAAATTGGCTCACGACGCCGTCTGCAAATTGGAGCGCAACGCAACACGAAAATTTATGAGTTCCGGAAGTTTGACAGGTGGCCGTCCTTGACTCACCAAAGGCAACGATGAGCAGCAAAATCCCCCGCAGAGCCATCATTTTGCCCATGGATCCAGCAAGTGCACCACAAATGCCACCGACAACACCAAATCCGGACGTGCTGGCGCGTCGGGAATCGCGTGAAAAATGCAAAATTTACTCTCTGTGCCCCGCCCAGAGATGTGCAAAAGACAAAAAACCGCGAGCAGCGCACTAATCACATTTCAGCGATGGAATTTCACGCGCGGCACACTCAATTGGACACCAAGGGCGACTTGTGCGGGCCTCAGTGGGTTGGAAGGAAGTGAAAGGACAACAATTTGCTCAACAAACGAAAACAGAAAACACAATAAAATGCACCCCAAAAAAATCAATAAACGCCATGCACTTGTCACTGGCAAAAGTGCGTCACCCGCGCAGAGTCGGTACGGCAGAGCATCGCGTGGGACAGCGTCGTGGGACAGCGTAGAGAAACAGAAGATTTCATACGCCACAGTTTGTGGGGTATATTTGGGTGTAGAATTCCTGGCTGATCATTTATTACCTTTTATAGTGAGATACAGTAAAGAAGATGAAGAGTGGTGACTGAGTGGAAATTCTTTATGGATTCTGAAAATAGTCTAGATTAGTGAAACGAAAAATCCCCTTTAAAGTTACCATTTTCTTTTATTTTTAGATTCCTAATGAGTTCAGTAAGAAAGTAGGGGATGATTTAATTTTTCAAGTATTTCCTGACTAACTCTGAACTCATTCTCAAGATTACAACACCTTTTCACCCTTTTCAAAGGTGTGAAATCAAAGTTTTTCCTATTTATTTTACAGTGTACAAATTGTCCTATTTTTTGGGACGTGTCCCAAATGAAACATTTAATTTAGCTGCGAATCGCTAAATGGAGTGAACGAATGAACAAAGTTTTTGTTCAAAAAGGTGAAATTACATCCACAACACTGTTGATTCCGAAGAATTCGCGCGGTGCTTGTTTTTTTCATGTCCCAAGGCTTTCCCGCGCTTTCCTCCACAAACGCTGTACTTCGCAGAGCGCCGCCAGTGGCGCTGGTGTCTGTGGGCAGCGAAACTGGGCAGATTCGACCATGAGAGTTGGCAGTGTTGAGAGTGTTTTCCCGTGTAAATGACGTTCAGCGATGCTTTGTGTCGTCTTGAGCGGGAAGTGATAGATCTTGTGTTGTGGACGAGGCATCAGATGGTGCTCCGAGGGCACCAGAGAGGCAAATAGTGGCGTGAGAGATTGTGCGCTTTGCTGGGCCGGAAACGTCGTGCAGTGGTCAGGAAGTCAAAGAGCGTCGTGACCTTTGTTGCCCGCCCCGTACGTGAGTGTGAAGACTGAGAGAATAAATATTTGTGATTTGATGCCCTTGAAATGTTCTAGCATAGAGTGACAGAGGCAAGATGCGTGTGACAAGGCCGGTGTTTGCCTACACCAAGAAGATCCTCGACTTCTACTCGCAGTTCAATCCGTCGCCACTGTCCATCAAGCAGTTCATCGACTTTGGGCTGAATGCGTGCGAGAAGAAATCCTACATGTTCCTGCGGAAGGAGCTGCCGGTGCGCCTGGCGAACATCATGAAGGAGATCGCCCTGCTGCCACAGCAGCTCCTCAGGCAGTCCTCCGTGGCGATGGTGAGCCAGTGGTACCACAAGAGCTTCGAGGAGATCATCAACTATGAGAAGATCGAGCCCTCCGGTGACACGCTGAAGCGCTTCGTGGGCGACCTGAAGCTCATCCGCGACCGCCACTCGGATGTGGTGCAGACCATGGCGCTGGGCATCCTGGAGCTGAAGGAGGCGCAGCACGGTGAGATTGAGCCCAGCACGGAGGCGGCCATTCAGTACTTCCTCGACCGCCTGTACATGTCTCGCATCAGCATCCGCATGCTGATCAACCAGCACACGATGCTCTTCGGCAACACGCATCCCGATCCCGGGAAGCACATCGGCTGCATTGATCCCACGTGCAATCCCAGCGCCGTGGTCAGGGATGCCTATGACACGGCGCGATTCCTCTGCGATCAGTACTACTTCGGCGCACCGGCGCTGGAGATCGAGGAGCACAACGATCTGGAGGCTGACCAGCCCGTTAGGATCATTTACGTGCCGTCGCACTTGTATCACATGCTCTTCGAGCTCTTCAAGAACTCCATGCGCGCCGTGATGGAGCGCTATGAGCAGGACGAGGAGAACATCCCGCCGATCAAGGTGAGTCTCGACGCTGTGGTCTCTGCCTGTCGCCAGTATTTCCATGGCAACAGGCAGAGAAAGTGATAAAAGAGGGTAAACATAGCACAGTGACGTAGTGAGTGATCGTGAGAGTCAAGAAAATTGTTCTTTCACTCAAGAAGGACGAAGAGATTCAGTGCTCAGGACAGTTGAGGAATTTCTGGATTTTCATTGCCATTTTCAAAGAGAAAGACTAAATGTTCGATACAGCAAAGGGGCGGGGTTTTAACGTGGGCGTGGCTTAATATGTTTTAAGCTCAGTTTTCCAACAAGCTTTCTTCTCACGACAATAATAAAGGGAGTGTCTTTTTCACTTCATTTTCCTTACGCTACTGAACATCTTGTAAGGTCAGCCATATTCAAGGGTGTGAAAATGTGTGTCAGGAAGGCTCAGACACTTGATCTAATTTATCTCTAAACTGCTAATAATCGCAATTATCAGGCACTAATGTTGTTTTTTTCGGGGGGCGTTCTTTCGAGGTCAGTTCAAGGTACTAATAAACATTCGTGCGATAGCAATCGATTTAGTGCGTCGCGAAGACTCGCAATTGGCAACATTCGATACTAAATCCATCAAGCTGATCTCATACTTTCACTTGTTTGCTTGGCTTTTAGGGCGCAAAGCAAAGGTCAATTGCCAGCTGATTAGAGTTATTTTGAGCACAAGTCCAGATATTTGTAGTTAAGACTCAAAATTTACTGTGCAAGTAGGTTGATTTTGATTGCTCGTGACGTCAAGTGTGAGCGCAATTTCGTGCTATCTCTGTAACTTCCACTTGACTTTCCCCCGAAAAATCGAACGGAAGATACAAATGAGAAATTGGCCATCAAATATACTACAAGGTTCATTAGCAAGATTGCGTGGAGTAAAAAAAAAACTAGCAGTTGTTGGGACAAATATTGAGCTTATGATAAACACAATGGAAACTCCAGTCAAGCATGAGACATCAAAACAAGCATAAACACCAGAGAGGAGATATCATTTTCGGGGAGTTGTTTTGAGCAGTTTTTGCGCAGATTAAAAGAGTCAATGTTCGTTTTATGCGCATCTTACGGTGGACAAAACGTAAGATTCTCTACTTTAAATCAATTCAAACCTGAAACAATACTAGAAGTGTTAGATTGAATGCATGTGCGCAAAACTGAGTCAATTGCTTACTTAATGAATCAATGAATATTGAGTGATTGCAGTCTTGCCAAGCGACAATAACAGTATTTTACTGCCCTCGCTTATTAACTTTAACACTCACGTTCATGCTGTGGGTTTTATGGGTTCTCTGGCTTAGTTTTTGGTTGGTTTTAATTGAAAAATTCCTCTAGTCAGTGTGATTAGAAATTAATAAAAATGCAGCCAGACATGCGCATTTGACGGCGATAGTTAAATAATCTCAGCCACACACGCGTTGCATATTGATTTGTGTGCTAATGAATAAGCAAACGACATCAATGAGCTTCAATGCTCAGCAATTTTCCACTCGCACAAGCGTGGGGGTGGGAAATGAAGACATTATAGAGAAAAATCGCGTGTTGCACATCGTGAGAGCAATTTATCGCAATTTATCCACTCTCTTCCGCAGGTCACAATTGTGCGCGCAAAGGAGGACATTTGCGTGAAGATGTCCGACCGCGGTGGCGGAATTCCGCGCTCGCAAATGGATTTGCTGTTCAAGTACATGTACAGCACAGCGCCACAGCCGCAGAAGCACGTGGATCATCAATCCAACACCGTGCCGCTCGCCGGCTACGGCTACGGACTGCCCATCTCGCGGCTGTACGCGCGATACTTCCACGGTGACCTCTGTCTGATGTCCTGCGAGGGATACGGCACGGATGCGCTGATCTATCTCAAGGTGAGCCGCCTCGTGGGTCGCTATTACTGGTCATTAATGGGGCGAAATGAAGTCAAATTGCACACACGTGAATTGGCGCAATTTACAGCGCGCGCGATGATATTGAACTACATTTTATCGCGCGCGCGCTCTTCCTCCTCTTCAAGGCTGCACAGTCGCGAAAGCACGCGCATTGCAGAAGTTGGCAAAATTGCGACAAAGACTGATCAAATTGCAGATTTATGATGGACTTCTTTATTTGAATATTCAGTGATCTTGAGATGTTTGTCTACACTTTATTCCTTAGCAATGTGTTTATTGGGCAATTTGAAGATAGAATCTTGCCTTCAAATGTTCAGCAAACATGGCTTAAGTGTGATAACAAACAAAGTGCATTTTGATTCAATCAGTATTGAACAATTAGGGAATTATGAAGTCATTAAATTCAACTTATCCTGTTACATGTCCTTCACAGACCCTTTCTGATGAGGCCAACGAATTGCTGCCGATCTTCAACAGTTCCAGCAAGCGTTTCTACGAGCCTTACGTGCCCGTGCGCGACTGGTCGTCATCCAACAGCAAATCCCGGCCGCAGATCATCATTTGAGAGGAAGACGAAAGGGAGCGAATTTCCAGTGTGAAACGACGGTTGTATTGACGGTGCTGGTCAAGGGATTCTGTGGATATCATCCCATCGCAGCCAACGAGCATTTAGCACAACTCATTGTCATTGTCCTCCATATGATCGTATTTCTCTACCATTTTTATTCTTTCTACATTGTGTACAAAGTGCGGGCATAGAAATAAAATATTTTGTTATACGGAAAGAGCGCAGAAATTGTGTTTGTGTGGCAAATTGAAGGCGAATCTCAAGTTGAAGGTGGAATTTATTAATAGAGATTGCGAGAATAGAGGAAATTTTGGCCGATTAGATGACACTTTTCCGCACGATTAAAGTCCGGGACACAGAAGAGAAAGAGAAAATTCCCACAAGATTTTCTCCTTGAGCATGTTTTCTTCTTTCTTCCGCAATTCGAGAGAAACAAAAGACCTTGAGGCATTTTTTACTATATTTAATATAATAATGAAAATATAGAACCTTAACGAAGTTTTTTATACATTTTAGAGTCATTTTTAAAATTTAGCTAAACACTTAATTCATTTTTTTATTTTTAATACATAAGTAAAAGTATTAAGATTTCCTTTTTATACTCTCTTCTTCTTCTTCTTCTTAGAAAAAAAATAATATATATAAAATTCAAATTGATCAGATGAAATTATTAAAACTGATTTCAATACATTTTATCCATTTGTTTTTCTTTTTTACTTAAAATTCCTTAACTTTTACTTTGAGGGGACGCAGAAATTAAAAATTATAACAGACTCTGACACTGTTTCTCACAAAAAACTTACATGCTTGTGTAAAAAAAAAATACAGACAAAGAAGAGAAAAAGAACGAGAAAATACCTTAATAATCGCACGCATTGAGGGCAAAAGTCGTACTTCTCGAGGGATTCAAGAACTTAATTCGATGCTTTGTACGTATTTATTTTTTCTGGTTTTCACCACGCGATTTGTATTTACAGAATTAGATCTAGAAGACATAAAAAATTTTTTTTTTTGGGGAAATGCGATAAAGATTACAGTCACTGGGAAGATGAAAACAAGATTGCCGTTCAATGACGGGATAGAATTAATTGCTAAAATGGAAGAAAAGTCATGAACCTTCAAGACACACCCTCAAGACTATTATTTCCCTCTTAGTAGAATCAGGAAAATTATGCGCACGCTTTTGCCAGCAATGCGCGCGCGCAACATACTGAAGAGAAAATTATTATATAAAATTCTACAATAAGAAAAAAAAATATTTAAGTTAAGTATTTCTCCATTAACTCTCATCTCGTCACGGACACTAAAAATTAAGATTGGCAGAAAAGTTCTCTTCATGCTATTTCACTATTCACAAAAATTGATACGCTTTTTTTCTTCTTCTTCGCTCTCTGTATAAATTAAAAATTTTCTTACTTCTTTCTTCAATCATCATCATTATGTTTTCTCTCTCATTAGCGCATTATTTCGATTAATAAGAAATTGCGACACACACAAACATTTGCCCTGTGTGTGTTTTTTTTTTAATTCTTCCACCAGGCAAAATGACGCAGAAATGTCGTAATTTCTTATCAATTAATAATATTTATATAATTATTAATGTTATATATAAATTTTTAATGTATATAGCAACATTCATTCACGATTCTCGCGTATATTTTCAAAATGTATTGATTTTTTCCACCTCACTATCATTGTTTTTTTTCCTCTGTCTCTATATATTTTTTTCTGTTACATAGAACGCTTTTTTTGTTGTGTGATTTTTTCATCTTCTTCTTCTTCCATGAAATCAATTATTCATCTATTTATATATAATTCTTTTATACTTCCTAAATTTTCCTCCACATACGCATTCTTCCTCCTCCTCCTTTTCTCTCTTCTTCCTCACTTCTCCACTTCCTATTCCTATTCATTGTAGTTTAGAGTTTCTGCTCTCATTCGCACTCACTCTCTCTCTTTCTCTTTCTCTCTTCACCTTGGAACTGCTGCTCTTCTACGATGTTTCTCCTCCTCCTCCACCGCAAATAATGCGTCTGTGTCTCTTCTGAATCGTTTTCACACCCTTATTGCTTAACTTTATATACACAATCATGATGTAATTAAATTATTTCTCTCCACACAGTGTTGATTGTTTGTCTTATTTCCTTCATCGTGATTCTCCCAATCAATTCCTTTCCACACTCTCTTCTCTTCTTTCCTTCCCCTTCCTTCCTTATGTTTTCCCAGAAAAACCACCTACGCCATCAGCTTCTTCACTGCAATCATCAAATGTTGATAAAATGTCACGACACGACGACGATGTTATCGCCAAAATACTGTTAAGTGCTATTGTGAATGACTGTTGTTGTGCGATAAATTGGAGTGTGGACCCTGCAAAGAGGTGAATAAATAGAAGAGAGAGAGAGAAAGGTTCCAATTAATTGAATGATATTGCATAACAACAACACAGTGCTCGTGCCGCTTTACTCCTCCACGTGAATGTGTCATCATCCACTTCATTATCAATCGTTATCATCTCACTGTCAGTGGCACATTTATCAATAAATGACTACTCACGGATATTGATGGATATCCTTGCGATATCATATGATGCTGTGGCAATTTTGATCCATCCTCTGCCTTCTCTTCCTCCCTCCTCTTCAGGCAAGCTGCTTTCGGGTTCAGATTTCTCTCTGTTGGCGCAAATAATTTACACCAAAGAATTAGCAAGATAATTCTCAATTCACATTTTAATAACATCAATTGAGAATCGATGATTTCTTTATAGTCTTTTAGTATCATATTCTTTCTTGTTTTGATCCTTCAAAATGTACATCAAGATCACTTCTCTCAATATATCAAATTGCATTTCAATGTAAGATCATATTTTTCTTCACATGAAACCTTTCTTCAAACACAACAATCATCATCAGATTCACATTGCAAATTGCTTATCACATTGGAAATTGATCATATTTTGCATATATTGCAGAAAAGATGAATCTAAAGAGGACAGAATCTCTCGTAACGAGATTCACATTAACTCGTTTAGAGCGATATGACAATGAAACTGTCAACTGTTCTTACTCATTTAATGTAAATTCATCATGACAATTTCCTCACCTCGAACTTGTTGCTCCAGATTCATTATCACTTCTACTGCCATATTGAGAATGCCCAATTTTGTCTGTGGCTTGTCAGATTTCAGGTGTGTCATGCACATTCTCCCCAACTCCTTCAGGGCCTCGTTGATGTCCCGAATCCGTATCCTGAGGAACACACACACACACAACGTAAGTATTAAATTCTCAAACATCAATTACAATTCATTATAGTGGTTGAAAATTTATTTGAATAAAAACAATCAAGCAAAAGTTGTACCTCTAAACTTTACTTACACCAGTTCACAAGTGTATCAAAATATGCTTGCATTCCTTTTATTCAAACAAACAAAACAGCGATTTGTTGCGATCAATCATTGCAAAATGACAGACGAGATCTCTAAATTCCATACAAAATATTTCTTTCCAATCCAAAGAATAAAAGAATTTAAAAAAAAAACCCATCATACAAAACTGACTTCTGACTCGGATGTTCGCGTGAAGAGCTGGAAAGCAAGCATAATTGAAACATCTCTCCCGGATCAGTGCGAGATTAGAGGTAATGTTAAAACATCCTTTTGCTCTCTGTTAACAAGTCTTTCCATTTTTTTTTTCTCTAATTGTTACCTTTCACGAGCATTATTAGCTTGCCGTCTCTCTTTCTCTCTCAACGCCTTGAGACCGGGCTCCTCATCATCTTCATCGGCGCTTGAGCAACTGCGCGAAATTTTACTGTTTTAGTCCAAAAGTTTATTACAATTTATGGTGGCCCAGGTTTTTTCGACAATCGGTTTTGAGATATTTTTGGTTTTTGGTCAAATGTATTTCATAGCCGGTGCCGCAGGAGCCAAATTCACCCATGAAAAGGGAATCACAGAGAGAGAGAGAAAACAAAAAGAAAAAAGATTGTTTAAAAAGGAAGAGAATAAAAAGAGATGAATATGCTGAAGTTTGATTAGATCTTCAATAATGATACAAAAATATCCCCAAATGTCAGAATTGCATTTTTTTCTACATATATATTGTTGCAAGAGAGTAAATAAATGTGTATGCAATTATTTTTCTTCTCATTGTCATGTTGCAAACAAAATCACATCACAGATCACAAAATATATTTACCATCTTAATAAATAGAGTAAAAATCTTCCATATCCTTTCACCAAAACAAACTCACCTCTCTCTAACATTATTAGCTTGTCGACGTTCTTTTTCTCGCACCGCTTTACTGCACGACGGATCAGAATTATCACCTTCATCAGCACTTGAGCAGCTAAGAAAAATAATTGCATACAGAATTTTTTGTCAAGGGATATTTTTCAATATTCAACAATTGTGCTTTGGCACTAATTTATGCAAAGCACACACACACTGTTTTCTTGCATCTTCACTTTCTACGCGTGTGTGTGTTCAATAAAAAAAAGTCATGTAAAACTCACTATCGACGTGGTCTCTTAGCAGAACCCTTTGAAGATCCCTCAATTGAACTGCTACTCGGTTTTGTGTCCGCTTCTGTTGGCTCCTTTCTCTTTTCTACAATGTCAAAGAGAGCACACATTAGTAGATCATCAACTTAAGGAATCTCTAGACAGATTCTTAAGAGATCAAAATTGGTGGTCAACATTCAAAAACACCTCCTCCCTCGAGGCTACAAATATAATTCCGTCTCACCACCAATTCCGCCTCGAGTACAGAAAATGAGTAAAAGTGAATGATTATTACTGGAATTGCCACTTGTGAGTCTTTCTTGCTTTATGCTTCCCGCCATTGGATCGGCTTTTATGTCACTTTGAAGAGATGGCATCAATTGTGTACTTGCAACCGCGGGCGGTGGTCCGCTCCCACTGCCACCCGCCGCCCCAATAAATGCTGGATCCAATCCTGATAATGGCATCGGCAGTTGGGGTTGTTCACAGTGATTTCTCAATACATTTATGGCATCATCTAGTCGCTCCTCCATGCGTGCCCCCTGGAAAGACAACAATTGCATCACTCCACAGCCTTTGCCATCTTTCCTTTCCATTGCGCACAGCAGAAAAAGTCCCGCACACAAACACTTTCCCACCCTCCCTTTGACTTAGAGTGTAATACAGTAAAAATTAAAGAAAAGTATAACAAGAAAAATGGTAAAGAACAACAAAATAATAATAACGTCATCTACTTACATTCGTACTTTCTGAATGGTCTCGCAAAAAAACAATGGCATCATCTAATGGCTGTGTTTCTGGCGGATTAGCCTGTACAACAAAATACGCAGAAGCATGCAAAAAAATATAAAGAAAAATATTGTGGTGGATTAATTGTTAGGCTCAGCACACACTTGAATAGCAGAAGTCATAAATAAAAAAGACCCCCAAAAAAACAACAACAACATCATTAAACATCAAATTATAAATGTAAAAATTAGAATTTTCAGTTGTTAAATTGACAAGTTCTTTTGTGTCCATGTTCACCTCTAATTGCTTATTTATATCACATGTTGTTCTAACATTTAACTACTTCTGAGGGGTTTTCTTTTACTCTTATTTAACTGTTTGCAAAGAATTTCATCAGTTGATCAACACGAAACTTGATTCTGACTTTTCAAAATCCCTCTTCTTGGATTTTGGAACAGTTCAATTTCACACAACACTGCCTTCAGTTATTAGACTCTGTTGCATCCTCAACTTGACCACAATTCGTCTTGAGGTGCGCGCCAATCAACAGCACAAAAAGATGCTCAAGTTGTAAACACAGGTGATTAAGACACAAATTAGATACATCTCATGCCGCACAGCAATCATTTGTCAAGATAATTTGCTCTCTTTTTCCACTGTGTCTCCTCAAAAACTGCGCCACGCGTGTGACAGTGTGCGTGTGTGTGTGGATAAAATGGACCAGCGCGAGAAAAGAACTCATGTTCGACGACTTGGTAAAACATGTGAGAAGGTAAAAAGCACATAATTGAGAGTGAACAGAAAAAAGAAAAGAAGAAAACACTTGGACAACAACAGAGCAACACACATTTTTCAAGAGGAATTGTGAAAATAATGTGATCAAACACGTGAATGTGTGTCTTCTTCTCATTCTTCCTGTGTCGTCGCGCCTCTCTCCTTGTCGCCTTTCATCCGGATCCCAGTGCAAAAGCTAGACAACAATCACACTGAGTCGCAACGTCTCCTCATCATCAACTCACCATGAGTCCCCTGGTCACCAAGTCCGGCGTGTAGGCCCCATTCTGAAGGCCATTGACACTGGGATTCCCGCCAGTGACACTCGCCGTACTGAGAACAGGTGTCAATTGTTGCCAGGACGTTGCACCGCTCGATGCACTGCCCGGCTGGCCGGCAATCACTGGATTCGGTGGTGGATGGAGTGGCGTCTGCGACGTCAGCGGCGGCGGTGAGTTGACAGGAGTGGATGCATTTGAATTTGTATATGCAAGATTCTGATCAGGTGAGTAAATCTGCAAGGAAAGAGAAAAGTCAAACAAACCATCATCATCGACACAATTTCGCAATTCTATCACATCACAAATACACCACATAATCTGCAGTCTCTGTTAAATATCCTGTGTTGTTCAAATGTACAACAATATATTGTGATATTTCCCTCACAAAGATTCAACTGCAAGTCTGTCCAAGTATTTCATAAGACTGAGTGAGTGAATTTACTGCAATTGTGTCGCACTCAATCAATCAATAAACACCTTAACAATGCTCAGAATTATTCATAAACCCACCCAATCAATATGGAATCAATCCTGCATATTAAATGCAGTTAATGGAAAACTTTCTATGCTATCATTTTTTTTGCCTTACATTGTGCGCCGCCTTCCGGACGATGGGATCTCCTGCCTCGAGGACGGGACTGTGCTCTGGATGCGGATGATTGTGTGGAAGAGACAACTGTGGATTGTAGACGGCCTGCGAGGGCCCGGCGCCGCCGCTGCCGCCCCGGAAGGAGCTCATCGGCGGCAGACTCTGCGTCTGCGACAGCTGCCCACCCTCCATGTGGCTCATGTTGGGAGACATGCTGTAGTGATTGCTGCCACTCGCACCCCCATGATGCCCCGCCGGGCTCATGTGCGACGAATTGTGATAGTTGGACGCCGCCGTCTGTGGCGTATAAGCGCCGCAGGAGGACGGAGCGGCGTACCACGAGCTGCTGGCCGTGGAATCGAAGTAGGGCTCCGGCTGGTACAGGGCGCCGACCGCCTTGGGCGATGCATACCGCGTCACACCAACAGGATTCTCGTGGGCAAAGTCATCCGGTCCGTACTGAAATGGCGACAGCGGAGAAAAAGAGAGAGAGAGAGAAAAAAATGAGAAACATCTTGACAATATTATCTCCACTTTTGTCCACCGCGAGCATCAATTGCGACATGCTGCAATTTGGCTGCAATTTCAGCAGGTTTTTCTCCTTTTCTCGTGGCTCTTCTCCACACAATTTAATCACGAAACTCACCATTCCGTTTTCCATTCCGCCGTACGCCGATGATTGGTAACCTTTCTCCGCTCCTGGTGTGTCACAAAACGCACAAGAACACATGAAAGAGAGGCGGAAAAAAATCATTCACGGTGAGATGGAGTCGGGGTAGAGAACATCAACTTAAATACCCAGCATTAAGGGTGGTCGAGCAGAAAGTTCGGCAAGACATTCGGAGAGGGTTTAACGAATTTAATCCGCTTTCTTCTCCTTCTCATATTCGCAACATTTGCATTTTCTTTGTCACTTGTGATATTTTATCACAATAAGATCCCACAAATTGCATGAAATTTCTAAGCAAAGCACAAATTAATGTTCTACCCTTTTCTTAGTCACAATGACCTCGCAATATTTAATTATAGTTAATAAGCTAATATGAAAATTATCCGTTTGTAAAAACCAAAAGATTTCCTTCTTTCCACGTGATTTTCTCTCATTTTCAATTACATTTCAAATTCACAACAAAATCAGAAATGCAACAAGTAAACGATGCTAATTAGACTAATTGTAAGTTAAGAACATTCATTAGAAATTGTGTTAAAAACAGTAATTCTTAGATTTTCATACAACAAGTCAAAGTTCAAATAAAGTCTTTTGCAGAAGAAACTTGCACAAGTTCACACTGATTATTGTGTTATTTGGTTTGTTTCCAAAGGCAGAATTTGCAGAATGATGAATAAGATGCGAGCATACGGCGAATAAGATTCTGTGTCACGATTGCAAATCTGTGTGTTATTTTATACACAAAAACATTCCGCTGACCGAACTTTCCGCTCAACCTCAAGCTGAATTGTTGCATGGAGTAACAATTTTCTTTCTTATTATCCACTTCTTCACGCCAATATCATTATAAATGTATGACAATATAATTTTTCATTCTTTTTCCCTCTCGGATATAAAACAGTGTATGTTCACTTTGTGTCGCCTTTGCTCTCTCTCTCTCTTGGCGTTCGATGCCCAATCAAATCTCTCGCGCTCACTCTCAATTCCACACAACATTATGTGGACGGTCTCTCGGGTACATAATGTACATAATGATACTCTGGCGTATCGACGATATATTATGCACAATAATAATGCCGAGGAGGAAGAGGAGGAAGAGCGAGAGCGCGAGAGGGGGCGGGGGCAGCGAAGCGGGGCACCAAAGGTGAATGTTGTGTGGCCACTTCCTCGTACGCGTTTGCACGGCAATTGTGCGCGCCGTGCATGCGTTTTATGTGTCACTCGGACTCCGGCCCCGGACAGCCCGCGGGGCCGCCGACGGCCGCGGGCGCCACAGCCTCGCGGAGGCTGCAATCCATGTCCGAATACAAAGAAGTCGCAGCCACGCGTCACAAATCACCCAACTTTGCCGCCCGTGCGCCCCTCCTGCGCCCCCCAGCGGTCGCATTTTCGCCCAGGGGCGCCCCCACGCGCCCTCCGGAGCACTCACCATTCTGCTTGTTGGCGATCTTGTTGAAGCAGTTCTGAAAGACCTCGTACAAATGCATTGGCTCATCGTCAGAAGTCGCCATTTTGAGTTTATTTTCTCTTTCCCTTTTTTGCTTTCACACCACACACCAAATACCACGATTTTCCGTGGCGATTTTGTCCACCGCACGCACGTCCACCGTACACTGGATCACACCAAATTGTTCGTGAGAACGTGAATTTTCACACGGTGCACATCACGACACATCTTCTCAGCGCTTTCCACCCCAAAATACGCAATTTATCCGCCAAGTCTGCAAACAAGAACCACAATCACAAAATCAAAGATACGACTACCCGTGGCGCCACGGTGCACACGAGAAACCCACGGCGAGCCCACGAATTATGAGCGGTGGCGCTGTGAGCGGCAAGCATTTGAGTGATTCTCGCAGTCGATTTAAGCGCGCAACAGCTTTATTTCTCAATCACTCCTCATCCCTGTCCAGGGATTCTGTATCACTGGGATTCTCAAGAATGGGCGTAATGCCGTTCTCTAAGTGCTTCAGTGCCACCTGGTTCGTGAGGCTCTCGTAGGGCAGCGGCGGCTCAGTGAGTGGCACAGCACTGAAAGACACTCCTTTGAGCGTCATCTTGGGCGTCTCGTGGATCTTGGCCGCCTCCTCTTTGGCCCTGATAATACCCTCATCCGTTTCCCTCTCTATCCTCTTTGCGTAGGCCCGATTGGAGCGGTACACCTCGAAGGCGCACGCAATGATGATGATGAGGAAGAGAATGGACAGCGTGATGAACACCACCGGCGTCTTCTCCTCCTTCTTCGTTAGCGTCGTGTAGATGGACTTGTACGGAATCTTGATGGGTGGATCCTCTACCCATGTCCTGTCTGTGGCCTGCAAGAAGCCCCAAAGGGTGAGTCATTGTGCACATTTTCATATATACTTCAAGACCTTCAAGAACATGAAGAACAGTTAACCCTCTTCAGGATGTCATGTTGAATTTCTGATCAAGGAAATATTTGAGCAGGATTCTTCACAAGGATATCATCCCCAAAGCCTCGGGTATTACAGGGTGGAACAATGGAACTCACCAGACTGAAATTGAGCGTTGGCTCTGAGATGAGCTTCTGCACGGAGTCAAAGTGGGCATTGCACTGGGCGCTTCGCACACCCTGAGAATTGGTCACTGCAATATTGTCTGCTCCTGTTTTGGTGAAGAGCATGTATTCCTCCAGAGGCTTCATAGAGTCGTTATTGACTTGAATAAGGATATCTGGAAGAAAAAGACAATTCATTGATTGACTGCGCGTAACATTTCATTCACCTTCTGTCGCGATATTGCCATTGATCGTGTGCGTAAGATCAAAGAAAAATGCATTTTCTCCTTGAGAATTGTGCAATTTTCCACGCAGATCAATTGAGAAATTCCTGCATCTTAACTAGACTAACTTCTAGATATTGCATAGTGCAATTAGAGAGCGATACTCACTCGACAGGCATCCACTGTAGCTCTTATAGATGGCAAATCGAGGGTCTGTCGTATTGATGCCACCGATTTGCACCTCATTCACGCCCACATCGTCCGCCGCGGTGCCCGTGAGGGCCATGAGGGTGAAGGGCAGCAGAGGGACATTCTGTCTGTCCACCCACAGCGTCCCGTTGTCCCCGTGCCGCTCGTAGTAGACCGAATGGCGGGCATTGTTGAGGACACTTCGCTCGACTTTCCCCTTCACCGCCACACCTTCGCGATCCTCTTCGAACAGCAGATGCCCATCGGCACTGATGCCCAGCATCAGGTAGTAAGTTCGGTGGTTTTCCGTCTGCAGGAGCAGCATAATGCGACTGGTGCGCCGGAAGTCCTCACTAGAGAACGCCAATTGGAGCTTCACATAGTTCACTTTCCCACTCAATGTGAACTTCCTCTGGATGATTGCTTCTCCGCTGAAGTCGGCGCCCTTCTCTTCACTGCAGAACTCCCCGACGAAGCTTGTGTGCTCACAGTCACAGAAACTCTCCTGCCTGGCGAAGTTCTCTGTGCAAATCCCACCATTCTTGCACGGTTCGGCATCACAGAGAATCTGGCAGTGCGATAGAACGCCTAAAAGAGCGAAAGATGTTATTTGGGATTGATTCGGGCAGTGTGATATGTTTTACCGTGAGATAAATTGGCGTCCACCAAATCCTCAAGATCAATCAAAGTGTCTCCGATCTTCAGGCCACCGACACAGCCCACAAATCCCTGCAGATCCGGCATGTCCTTGTTGGTCTTGAGCAGATTCCTGGAGTCATAGCCACCGATGTTGATCTGGAAGTACTCAGTTGGAGGCGCTGGTGGACGATGTGGCGAGAGAACTTCCATTTCTGGATTCTCCCACGGAGTGTTTGAGTAGTCAGACAGCAGAGAATCTCCTCTGGGAATGGTGACATTCTTATCATTGACATACATGGATATTGTCTCGTCCGTTCGAATGATGGCAACTTGCACACTCTTGCCGGAGTTGAGATTCTCATGGCAAAGTGTGAGATTGACAATCTTTTGACCGCTGTTGAAGAGGAAGTTCACTTCTTCCGAATTGTTGATGTACAGATGAACGAAATTGTTGAAATTGTCGTTGGCGTAGAAAACGAGGGAGAAGTTATCATATGTCCTCAGATTGATGAGGAGATCTTCAGTGAGAATATTCCGCCAAACTTGCTTATCAAGATCCGTTTGCAGACCGCCCACGTAGTTTCGCTTGACGTAGGACTCTCTGTTGAGGAATGTGAGGGCCTTTTCGTTGAGATCTGCAGATTTGGGAGAGATAATAGTGTGTTAGTTGGATTATCACTGCGGATCTTCCGGTTCATACTTACTGGTTTCACAGAATTCGCCAACATGAGCCCAGGGATTGCTGCAGACACACTGAAAGGTGCTCCACAACTCCTTGCAGAAGGCCCCATTCTTGCACGGATTCGGCACACACGATGGCTTGCAGTCTTTGATGATCTCAGACAAGTGGACAGCCATGTAGCTGTAAATGTCGAGGATTTCTCCGTTCACAACCAATCCGCGGAAGCATCCAATCAGTCCTTGCTTGACTGACAACTTCTTCAGCAGATCCGACGTTGCGCCTCCGATGAACATGCTGCCTTCGAAGGGTCCAAACTCCTCTTCGGGCAGCAAATCTACCATTTGATAATCTGTGTTTATCATGAAACGCACGTGATACTCATTGTAATCTATCCAAATCTTGTGCCACTCTCCGCCATTCAGCTTTCTATTGCTGTTAATCACGAGTTCGCGCGTTGTTCCCGTGCTGAGTGTGAAGTTGAACGTTAGTTGATAATCTCCAGTGAGAGCCACCATGAAAGAGGGATAGTTGGGACGAATGGGTGGCTGAAAGAGTAGAATTGCCTTCTCGCCGGTTGTTCTGAATGAGAAGGCAATATCGCCCTTGCGCCAGCCAGGAACTTCGATGTACGATTGAGACGTTGTGAATGTGACAACGTACTTTTGTGTGTTGGTTTCCACACACTCCAGAGGTCCTAGAGTGATTCTTCCCTGCGCCTCCTCGTCCAGGATGTTCTGCTGCAGGAAGAACATGTGTGTTATACCCAGACTCTGAACTTCTGAGTACGTTCCCTCGTCGGAGAACCACTTGCCCTGAATTGAGCTGTCGCAGTTGCAACTCTGGTTGGCATCCTCACAAGTTTTGTTCACTGAACACGGACAGGAGCCTCTTTTCACATTTCCCAGGTAATCGACAGTGTTGTTCTTCGCTGAGGACATGAACCAGGTGGCAGAGTGCAGTTCCAGAGGGGCTTTGTAGCAATCGTACTTGATATGTTGAGTGCAGTAGAGCGAATGGGAGATCAATTCCTGAAGCATCTCAGGTGAAAACTCCCGATAAGTGATGTAGAAACTGAAATCGTTCCACTGAAATGATCTCACATCAACCTGCGATGGTAGATTGTGCTCAACGATGGTTTTGGTGGCATTTTCGAGACTCTGAAAGTCACACTTCACGTGAGCCGGTGGGAATATGCCGTTCCCATCGATGTCTATCAGGTACACATCAGACTTGGTGTAGCCCAGAAGAGCTAACTCTTCGCAAGTCTTGCGGTATTTGGTGAAGTGGCAATTCTTGCCGATATATCCGGTGTTCTTGCAGTCACACGTTATCCTGTCATCCTTGACAATACACCTTCCCCCGTGTTCACAGGTATTTGGGCGTTTGCACGGATCGACGTACTTGCAATTGTCCAGAGTTATCTCGCCCACAACTCTTTCCGTCTTCACGACATATCTGGGCTCGATGGGATAATTGTAGATTTCGAGATCGCGCATGCATCCAACCAAACCAGACGGAGCCGTTCTCAGGCTGCTGCCGAAAACCATCTTGTCGCCAATGTTGAAGGACAAGTTGTACTCTTGCAACATCGTCTGTCGATAATCAACCGTGAAGTTGATAACGCCGTCTCTGTAGGACAATTCAATGGCATGCCAAGCGGATCCACTCTCAATTTTTTGCTTCATCGAGTGCAAGAGTGACGTATTCTTGTTGTCCAGCATTATATCCAGACTGAGTTTGTCATTATTGAGGCGAATCTCCCAGAATCCCGGGCCCTGATCTGTCTCCACTTCACTGTATGCCAGATGAGCGACAGTTCTGGCGCTCTTGAATTCAAATCTAATTGAGATTTCATTCGTGTGATTGATGGGCCACCAAATGTGAGATGTGGCAAAGGGATAAGTCATGGGAATGACCTCAACATCGGCCTCATAGAATTCAGGCTCCAGGATTCCGATGTAGTGCATTTTCGGACTGCCCTTCTTCAGTTCGTACAGTATTGACACGTCATTGTAGAAGACATACTTGAGGGAGCCGGCAAAGTTGTTCTTCGACACAAGTCCCTTCTTCTTGTTCAGCTCAGGACCGCCGCCAAAGTAGATTTCAGGATCGAACAGGAGATTCTGCACAGATCCCGGAATGTCAATGATCTTGTACTGATCATCGAGGATCAAATGGACTTCATGATAATGATGGAGAATGGTGAGATTGTGCCAATAGTGAGAAGTGAGATCGGATCCGAGAACCACACTTATCACACCATCGCCAAAGTCCATCTCCACATAGACTGAGTGGTTTTTGATAGAGGCGCCAATGTATTGATGCTTGAGAGTTTCTCCACTGCCGTAGAATAAGGCAGAGTCGTCAAAGCGTGTCTTGAACATGAGACTTAATCTCGTCAACGGTGAGTGTGTTCGATCCTTCCAATCGTAGATTCTGTAGGATACATAGCTTGATCCTCGAAGGGTTAATACTGTAGCGGCTGCAAAAGACAGTGAGAGGAGAAATTGCACCAAATTCTATTCAAGGAATTCAACTAAGATCTGATATGACGCCAATTGAGTGCTACTTACTGTAAATGTCGCAATGTTCTCCTTCATATTTGGTACCGAAGCAGTCGCAGGATATGTCGTAGTAATGATTGATACACTTTGAATTCAGGAAGCAGAGATTCTCCCTGGTGTGGCACATGTTGAGGCAACCCTCCTTCACATTTTCATGCTTCGTGGCGACTAAGGGTGTGATTGGGAGGAGATCCGAAGCTGCCTTTCCTGAGCTCAACACAATATTCCTGATGCATCCGACAAATGACTCAATAATGTACTTCACACCGTGCAATTTCTCCTCCGAACTCAAACCACCCACGAGAACCACTGAGGGCAAATTTGTCGAGACTCCGTAGTTTGTGTCGTGATTGAGACCCTTCAGATACACCTCTTCCTGATTATTGTCCACTCTGGCGATCAATCTGGCTCCGTGCACATCAATTCTCACCATGACGCTGTGCCATTCGTCGCGATTGAGTCCTTCGCCGACGGTGACGGACGTGGAGTGCTTGCCAAAGACATGAACAACCTTCAGTTGTCCCTTCTCCACGATCACGTACAGTGCGTAGGGATTGAGGCTGATCCCTTCGGGATTCTTCACGTTGTGGTAGACCAGAAGGCCGTGTGGAAGGCGCGTGCGGAATTGGAAGGATATTTCTCTGCACAGGCGCAGCTGGAATGTTTGAATGATGTCACCGTCGAGTTGAATGAAGGTGTTGTTCTGGGCGAAGAGGAAGGTTTTCTCATGGCCAGACTCCTCGAAAGTCAAGTCAGATCCTCTAAATTCATACGGAAGCCCAGTTTTTCCGCTAAATGTTGGCGTTGTTGTAACAATTTGGTCATTTCTCGTTGATTCCTCTGCCGAATTGGGCGTTGTCTGTTGTCCAATGTGAACTATACTCGCATTAACCACCTCAATGTGCACATTGTGATCCGGACTCTGTTCCGCAATCGACAATTCAATGAGGCCCAAGATGATAAACAGGCCAAAAAGCTTCATCTTAATGTGCGCAATTTCACGTAAAACCAGCAACGTTCTGTGGAAGTAGAATTCAATTGAAAAGATCATTAGTGGATATAATTTGAACAGCACACGAACAAATATGACTTTAATAGCGATGAAATGCATTTATAGTGGAATTGTCGCGGACAAACAAAGGTACATTCCAGCTTGCGTGTGTTGTCTGGTTGAATTTGTTATCAGCAAATAGCGAGATCGAGATAATTAAGAAAGATGTTTCTCCAATTGAATGTCAGAAATTTCAGCTTTGACGCAAATTTATTATTTATCTCCCTATTTATTCTGTATGGTAAAAAATCATAGAGCGGCGATGGAATAATTGATGACTATTAGTATTAACAATTAATACGATGATGATAGTGTGGGAATAATTCTGAAGGCATTGTGTGATTATTATTGTATTGTCAGCATCGATATAGAGTTGTTGTGATTCTGCAATCACGAGTAAAATTCACAAGTTTGTGACAATTTGTACAATAAATGGTGCTCTGCATATGACAAATTATGCTCATTAGCACTTTTTGATAAGTCAATAATGGCTTTTTTTGCGTGACAATTTCAATGACTAAAAATGCCTTTAAATCATTTATTATTGACATGAGAGTGAAATGATTGTGATTATGAATAATAGTAAAACTTGTGATCCTGGATTAACCCTCTTCTGGTCCACTTCAAATATACATAATATTGAAATATCTTGATGCACGAGAGAGGAAACGCATTTGCGTTAGAAAAGACGATTTGCTGTGGACAAAAAAGGAATGAAAGTGTGAGAAAGAAGGCGAAGATGTGATAAATTCTCATCTCGTGCAAACTCATTCATCATCATTGAACGGCGACAAGCATGTGATTCTCTCTCTCACTCTCTCTCTCAGATAAACTTAATCAAATCAGCCGGCAGAGAAGAACACTTTCTCTCCGTAGATCGTATTTGCACTCCCTCGCGCGGTGGTCAATTGAATGAGAGTCGCGAGAGCCATATGATAGCACACAACTGTCTCTCTCTCTTATCAATCGCGCTGTGTGTGCAGTTTTTGGACTGGAGTTTGACGGAGAGGAGGATAAATTGTGGGTGTGAGCGAGAGAGGGAGAGAATGGCCAATAATTGTAATCACGCGTTTAATGATGCTGCGCCTGAGTGTGTGTGCGCTGTGGCCTTTTAATCTTAAGTGTGGGGGCCTCCCTAAATAAGATGTGTGCGCAATGAGACATGATAATTATCTCGCTTGCGCTTTTATCTCATCGCCGTTGTCTGATGGGCAACTTCGTGAGCTGGCGGCGAGAGGAGAAACACTGTGAAGCTCTTCTTATCACATGAGAAGCGGGGGAGGGGAGAGAGCACATATGTTTCAATATTGTGTGTAGTTACGTGTGTGAGGAGGAAGAAAATGAAATTGTGCCTAATTTAATTTGCAATGACGGAGAGAGAGAAAAAAAGTGCCACAAGTTCTGGGATCTGGGGAAGAGGAAGAGGTGCGAAAGGAAGGAGGGCGAATTTAATTTATAGCTGGAGATGAGACTCGTGAGATTGGGTTTTTCTCTTATCTCACTGACTACCTCATGTTCTCGCTGATCAGAATGACAAAATAAGTATAGAAAAACCGATACTTACACATGCCTAAATATGTGGTGAGACACCTTTTTTTGTCCTCCAGAGCGCACAAATATATTGAGATAATTTATCACACTTTTCCTCTCGCCACAGTGGCGAATATGCGGTGTTGCTGATCGGCGAGAGGTGGTGTTCTGGAGGGTGGAAAAGACCCTCTGGCGAGGGTGTTTGCACACTTGAATCACCACAGCACTCTTCAACCACCAGAGATTATATAATCCACAGTGCGTTTAAGCAATGAACTTGCAAGTGAGACAGCGAAGTGAACTGAGAGAGCTCAGCAAATAATCCACAGAAAAGCCTGTGTACTGGAGAGATCACCAGAGCTTTATATGATGGTGGAGGGCATAGCGAATTAGAATGCGCGCGCGAGAGCGAGATGTGTGTAAAGCCTCCCCAGAGCAGTTCTCACTCCCAGACGAAATCTCTCTCGGCGATATGAGGTGCGTTTTCACTCGTGCACAACACGACACAAACTGATCGTGATTAGCAATAAAGAATGCGCGGTCTGGAGCACGACGCGGCTCTGTGATAATGTGTGTGGGATGATGATAAGTGGTGGAGAGAGAGAAAGAGACTCTCATCCTCGGTGATCTCCAGCGGCGCTGTTCCCATTCGTGCGGCCGTAGACAAAACACCAACGGCAATAACATTTTATTTAACACTTATACTTCTGTTTACCAACAACATAAGTGACCATTCACACTTGTTTGATCGTCTTGAGAGCATCGCTGAGGATGGCTTTTCGATTGAGGTGCATTTCGCACGGTTTCGGAGCTGAGAAGAGAGTAGATGAGAGATCGCGATTCAAATAAATCTAATTAATAATTATAGTTACTATAATTGTTCAATTTTATCAGCAATCTTGCGATTACTTTGATAGCAACTCTGCTTCACTTTTTTTGAGTCTCTCAGAAGCCTTTTGATCTCTCCTGGATTCAAGCCGGAGCGTTGAGAGCTCTTGTGGAAAATGGGGGCAATACTGAGCACGGTATCTTGGAGAGATAAGTGAGTGGTATTGTCCAGGTTGATCCTTCGATACACAGATTTTATTGGACTTTTAAATTATGTGTGATAACTTGGCGATAACGCGTTGTTTTCTTCCTGATTGCGATTGTACGTTGTGCACAGAAGAGGCTTTGCACTTTCTGGCGCTTTTGAGTTGTGGTTCACGTGTGCCTTAGGGCTGCAGATATCCGGGCAGCTTCATTCGCATGAAGATCCACGTGGTGAAGAAGGAGACGAGGATAAAGATGAAGCCCATGGCCGTGAGGAGGATTCTGTTGAGCTTCTGCTTCCCTGGCGTGTGTGTCTGGTCCATTATGATGAATCCTAGGCCGCCAATGGTGAAGAGGAAGCTGCTGGCCAGTCCCTCCATGATGTACTGCCCATTGACGCGATAGGGCATAAATGCCACCGGCCGCGAGTGGCCGTGCTCATCGGTGGTGGAGCCCACACTCGGGGGCTCGACGATGACATCGTAGATGATGCCTGGGAGAGGACAAATTGGCCAAAATTAATGGGATGTGGCGTGGACTGAGAGGGTGGGACAACTCACCTCCGGTCACGAGGAAGTACGACAAGAGCACAAGTGAGAAGACTGTGATGCTGCTCGGCTGCTGGAACCACGATGGTCTCTTGAGGCGCAAGTTGGGGGCTTCGAGGACCACGAATGGAAGGCTGTACAGTGTTTCTAGCATGATAAATAAGCCAAGATATTTGTGCGATAAACTCGAACCGGCGGTGATGACGTTGCGCGATGAAAACAAACCACAGTTGGCAGCACTGAGCCGAAGCCGGTTTGGGCTGCGTATCTGTATTGTCGTCAGTTTGTTTATAGTTTCTGTGCATATAAGGAGAAAAGAGAGAAAATTTGTGATATTTCACCCTTGATTTCACCTGCTTAACCATGTCAATGTCCAAAGAACTCACCACTGACGCCCTCCCGAAAGCCTCGGCTCGTTTGTCAGTGGAGAACATATCTCTGGAGGATCTGGATATGTTGGAGAGAGATTTGCTCTTCTTGGAAAAGGTGAGTCACTTTTCGTATGTTCTTCCAGACGCAAAGGGTGATATTTCGAAGTATTTTGCAGGTTTCTGTGTGTTTCCTGTTGTGCCACGAGATTCGGGATGCATCTTTTGTTTTGCAGCAGCTTATGGTCGCTTTCCGGGTGTTGAAAGGCAATATTGTGAGTGGCACTCGAAGAAAACCTCACGACACCACGATAATCTCTTCCTGGGCCAGAAGTCAACTGGAATACAAGTGGAAAGAGCATTTGGTGGAGGCTCTGGCCATTGTCAAGTGCAACAGAGTGCTTCAGAAGTTAGGATTTGATCTGCAAGACCTTCGAGAGACTTACCATCCTCTGATTGATGAGTTCTGCGTCCATGTTCATCCAATTCTCAAGATTCTCTTCCGCATGTGTGAAAAACTGTCTTCGGCTGAGGGTCTGAAGATGATCCACCACATGAGGAGGAAGTATGACGATTGTGGGGAGTTTGGCGTGGACTCACATAAGTATTTGGAGCTGTATTTGCTGAATTGGCTGCAAAGCAGCAAAGGAATCATCTCGATTGGGGATGCAAAAGGTGCTGGAGCGCATTTTGAGCAGCTTCTGGCATTTCTCAAGGAGAATGAAATGGATGAGTTCTACGAGAAGCTCAAGAGATTCACCACAATTGCCTCGGATGCCAACATTGAGGAGAAAATCACTGGAAAAATGACGAGAAGGTGTGAAGAAATGACCATTTCCAGTGATTCCTTCCAAATCGACACTCAGAACATGGGATATGCGCTGATATTGAATCAGTCGGTATTTTATCGTGAGGAAAACAGGAAAGAAGACTACTTGTTCCTCACGGGTGACCTGGAGACGCGTTACGGGACGGAAAAGGACGTGGAGAGTCTCGAAAAGACTTTGAGTGCCTTCAAATTCACAGTAATTGTGAAGAATAACCTGAAAGACAATGAAATCCTGGCCACGATTCGAGAGTATGTTGACAAAACCACCAGCAAACACTCTTCTCTGATCGTTGTGCTTCTCTCGCATGGCTTTGAGGGCGCAATTTATGGGGCCAACAGCATTCCAGTGGAAATTCGCACGGTGAAGAACATTCTGTGCACAGAGAAGCTGAGGAACAAGCCCAAGGTCCTCATCATCCAGGCGTGTCAGAGCAATGAGGGCTTCACACAGGGGCGCCTTGTCAGCGACGCCCCGTCCAGGTTCTCGAATCTCCTGACCGCGTGGTCAACAGTCGAGGGCCACTTGTCCATGCGACACACAAAACAGGGCACGTGGTACATCCAGACACTGTGCGCGAAGATCCTCGAGTTGCACACGAGCGAACACTTGCAGGACATTCTCACGCGCGTGGCGAACGATGTGAGCGCCAAAAAAGGCGATGACGGCGAAAGAATGGTGCCAAAGATTGACTCTACGCTGCAGAAGAAGCTCTTCTTGCCGCCACTCAATTTGTGATTGATTGCCTTGCAATGATCAATTTATTTGATAAGAAAAACCAAGTTTAATTAAATCACTTTGGATTCCACACGACAGAGCCGAGTTTTTGATTTATTTCCGCCAGAATGATCGATGCGATTTTCTGCTTCTCCTCAGACAGCCTGGAAAGAAGGGAGAAAGAAGAGGCTTTTATCTATTATTGCTGACATGTGAGATAAGATTAAGGCGGGATTCTTGTTTGGGAAACTATCTCGATATACTTTGTTCATAGAGCAGCGGGGCTTTAATTTAACTTGACTCCGAAACTGCCCAGACAATTCGAACCCCCTTTTGCTGACCACCAGTGATTTGATTTGCTGAAGATACTCACTGTGAAATGGCATCGCTTCCAGATTCCTCCTCCTCCTTCTTCGTCTTCCTTCTGGGGCCCCTCAATCGGCCACCCTTGGGACCCTTGCCGATCGGTTCAATGGGATACTTGGTGCTGTTCTTCCTCTTGTTCCTCTTCCGCTTGTTCTCGAACTTGGAGGGATCGTAGAATTGGGGCTTCTCTCTGCGAACTCTGCCAGTCCTTCTCTTCTGACCGTCACCTTCCTCGCCAATCTTCTGTGAATTCCGGCGAGCACGCGCGTTGAAGAACGAGTGTCCACATTTGCAACTCTTGCACGCCACGGCCACTTGCAATTTGCATGCTGGACAGGCTTTTTTGATCATTGCTTCAGTGGATCTTCTGCTGTGTTTTGACTTGGTTTTGACACTCCGCGGAGCATTGAAAATACGCTTGAAGTTAGTCGCTGAGCGCGAGTTCCAGTGTCGGTATGGCAGCGCGTGTGCATGGCAACGATTGGCGCGTAAACAAGTGAGCGCGAGGCTGGAAGGATGGATTTTGAGAAGCACTTCCACTTGAGTGTTTTCGGGCAGCTGGAGAGTGTCTTCCTGCCGCTGGGATGTGATAGTAAAGCTGTGTACTGTAGGTATGAGATTCTGGCCGGTCCTGACTGGGAATTGGTGTCTGGAGCGAGGACTGGAATAACGCAGAGTTGTTCAGCTTCGAGACAACGATTCCAGGAGATCTCCTTCAACATGCCACTGGAGTTTACGTACAAATCCACTAATCCCTTTGGATGTGAGTGAATTACCCAAATTTACGGTGTATAAGTGAGCTAATTCTCAGATTATCTTGACTTCCAGGGCCTCAAATTGTCGTCAGTTTCTGGGGAAGTAATTTGTGGGGCACAGAAGTCTGTCGAGGCTACGCCAGGCTACACATTCCGCTGCCAGAGAGGGGGAAACACCGGAAGATTCAGGCTCCGATTGTCACGCCAAAACCCATGGACTTGTGCACCCAAATCATGGCATGGATCACAGATTGGGCGCCTGAATTGCGGGATCCCTCGGTCCTGGCGAGTGGGAATCGCACAAAGGGCATCCACACAGAGTCCTATGGTCACCTCCAGGCATCCTTCGACGTGCTGACGCGCGGCAGCGAAGCTCTGCACTTGGAGTGGAGTTGCCATTGAAAATACATTGGCCCAATTATTCACTGTTTGCCTTATCATTGTCACCTTGCCATCAATCACTATCAGGAATCTTGTTCGGCTGAATTCCTTCCGTGTGACGATTATCGAGTGGTCAGTTGGGGAAGGGAAGTGCTCGGAGTCATTCCGTGTGGGTTCATAGTCGAGAAATGGCGGAAGTTGTGGCTGTTTTGCTCCTCATCATATTCTCAGTAAGTTTCTCTCTCTCTGTCTTATCCCACTTCTGATTTATCGCAATAAATTGCCTCCTCGAAGGTGACTCTCGTGATGACTTGGCAACTGAGCCAGATCAGACCGTTCGAGACGAATCTGTGCGAGGATCGCCAAACGGAGGGCATCATCTGCTACAGTTGCAGTGTCGTTGCGGTATGCGTGCCAGTTGATGGGGAGTGGCTCACGATTCCAATTGAGGAGTGTGACACGGGTGGCGGCTTCTTCTGCAACGTGAACGCCGGCTCGTGCTCAAATGCCTCGGGACCGTGCAATCCAATTGGCCACGAGAGGAACTTCGTCTGCACTTCGGCCGGTATCTTTCCTGATCCTTACGACTGCCAGGTCTACCACATGTGCTACCAAAGTGGCAACAGTTTCGGCGCAATCAATGTGGAGTGCGGTGGGAATTATGCATACTCGGTGGAAACTGGTGACTGCTCCATCACAATCGATCATCACGTGTGTCGAGAGCACCAGTATCGGTGTGAGAATGTAGGCGATCGGGCACCGTGGCCGGGGAATCCCAATATCTTCTACGTGTGCAAGGCGGAGACACGCGAAGACGGCCAGAGAGTGCTCTATCCAGGACTCTATCGTTGCGGAGCTTCTGAACACTTCATCAACAACGAGTGTCGTCAGATCACTGGAGGAGATCAGTCAACTCTTCCGCCGGGCAATGATTGCATTGCTCAGGGAATGTTCGTCAACTCCCTGGACTGCACGTCATATCTGCTGTGCGATCATGAGTTGAATTTACACGTGATTCAGTGTCCGGAAGAATCATTCTTCAATCCCGTCAACATGGCGTGCGAGCGAGGAAATTGCACTAATTGAAAGATAATTTTATTTGATAGTTTGATCAAATCACTCCACTGTAAATTTCTTCTTCGGATTTAATTATGAGAAATTATGGAATTATAAACATTATACAAATAAATAATAACATAATGATAGATTTAGATTTGAATTGTATTGAAACGATTGAAACATTATTGAAACTTGATAGAAATACAAGATTTCTAATGCTTTTGTGGGGCGTTTTAGTGTGGGTCGGTTCAGCTGGGATGTGACGTCACTTGTCATAACAATTTAGAATATTGTGAAATAAGTGCGCAGGAAGCAAATTTCCTCCTGAAACCGCAGAGAATTCAGTGTAAAAGTGTGAAAAGTAGAAAGATACAGAAGATGCCGTCGAAGAAGAAGAACACAAAGGCCGTGGTGAACGAGTTCGACGAGGATTATCGCAAGAAAAGAGAGAGGAACAATCAGGCAGTGAAGAAGAGTCGCGAGAAGACCAAGCAAAACACCATTGAGACTCACAAGCGAGTGGAGAATCTGCGGGTGGAGAACAGAGTGCTGGAGAATGAGATTGTCAACTTGAAGAAGAAGCTGAAGCTGCTCAAGGAGCTCTTCATCGCCCAGGCCAGAGCCAAGAACAACAACAACGTGAATCTGAAGGAATTGCTCAGCAGTGACGATGACAGTGACGAAGAGTGAATTCCCGGAAGGACGAAAGGATTGTCTTAGGCTTAAGATTGTAAATTAACACTTTGTGGAAATCATTAAATTCATACGTTCATTAAATCTGGGAAGTTTTTGGTGTCATTTGAGTCAATTTCTCGAAGGGTTTTTAGCATTTTTCAGCAATTCTATCTCAAAGCAATATTACATATGATGACGAATGGAAGTGATTCTAACAAATAAGGCAAGATTCGAGGAGCAAATCCAGATCCTTGGTCACGGTCACCCATAAGATCGTCCTTGCATGAAAACATGAAATTTATGTAAATATCTCCAATGCGACGACTGCGCCCCTGGTGAGGAATTGTGGTAAACCATAGCTGTCAGGGCGAATTGCACAATTCCGCAGAAAATCCAGGTAATTCCTTCATTTTTCAATGAATATCTTTGAAAATTATTGATACTACAGATTTACTGATCAGTAACACGTATTCTGCACATTGTGTGCTTTCAGCTGCATTATGTTTGCGGCTGTTCCTGTCGCCGCCTCGCCTGGGAGTCCTGCACAGAGTGAGACTCCCAAAGTGGACAAACTCTCCTCGCCACTGATCTGCAAACCATCTGAACTGCCACTCTACGAGTCCCTTCATGACCAAGTCAAGTAATATGATCGAGAATGTATCTAAATCACGTGTAGATTCACAGATTTTGTTTGCAGAAAGGAGCCTTGCAAGCATCCGGAAGGTTCTTCCACTTCTTACAAGTCCGATATTGAGTCTGTGATCCGGGCAGTGCGCGTGGAGGCTTGTCAGGCTGTCCGTGTGGTGAGTGACAACAAGAAGCAGTTCGCCGATGCTTATGAGCACGCCAAGGATCAGACAATCTTCATCCGGAACTACTTGAACGAGGAGCAGAACACCATCCCAAGGATTGGAGCTGTGGCCATTGGTGGACTGACTGGATTCATCTTTGGTCTGCGCGGAGGCATCTTCCGGCGTCTGTTCTATGGCTCGATCGGCGCTGGAGCCATTGCCGCCGTCTGCTATCCCAAGGAGGCTGAGAAGGTGACCCAGGAAGCCCTGACGGAGGCGAAGAAGTACTCTACCATTGCTGTGAACTTCATCTATGGCGTGAAACCGGGAGATGAGCAGATAAGTCTGCCCAAGATCCCCACGAGTGTGGATGAGGTGAAAGAGAGCCTGTCAGGTCTGGCCAGTTCAGCGTGGAAGGCAGTTTTCCCCGAGAAGTGAGCCTTCGGAAGAGATGAAATTGTAAATTTGTAGTCAATGAAGCGCCGTGTATGCGAATAAGTGGTGTTTTATTAGGTAATTTGCCAAATATTCAATTTATTTGTGATTTTATTTATGGGATTAATGCTCTGTAGCAAAGGTAGAAAGTTTGCCGGCAATGGGCATAAGCAGAGTGGCGCAGTGGAAGCGTGCTGGGCCCATAACCCAGAGGTCCGTAGATCGAAACTACGCTCTGCTAATTTTTATACTCACTTTCTTTTCATCCTTTTATTATGGGATTTTTTATGAAAATCATGAATTAATCATCTATAAAATGCCAAATGTAAAAAGGATTCGTATTTTGGGAGAGCCTAATATAATGAAAGTCATTTTAAGCCCTACGTCAGTGGCGTAGAGATGATATGAATATGATTTATAAATATATCTGTCGGAGGTAATTTGTCTACTTGAATTGTTTGAAGTATCTGACGATTTAGTGTTGATTGGAAGAAAATAATCTGAATTAAATTGTCCTTAATGTACCATAAAAGTACTTACAAATGCAAACTACGCCACTGTGTCGAAAGACGAGACACAAACCGACTTTCGGAGAGTTTTCCGGATGCATTCTGAGAATAGTCACGGCATGAGGAAATCATAAAACCATCTCAAATGGCCGAAATAAGCATAAAATTCACTTGAAACATACTCAAACATTTAAAGAATCTCATTAGAATATATTATATGTCGTTTGGATGTGATGCAATCGCTGTGAAATTCGTTAAAAGTGACTTTGGTGTGAAATGAAGTCGTATAATGATGAGTATGACATTTGCTCAGGAGCACTCAAGAGCAGAGTGGCGCAGTGGAAGCGTGCTGGGCCCATAACCCAGAGGTCCGTAGATCGAAACTACGCTCTGCTAATTCTTTTTTTTTCCTGCCACAGATATTTTTTGCACACTCTGCAACACAGAGTCAATTGGTGATGATTCAACTGAGGCGGAAAAATGTGGTATTTTTGCATAGAATGCTGTGAAAAAATGACATTCGATTTTGTTCTCATTTCACCATGCGCCTAAGCAAGTGTTTGCACGAAGCATATGACTTTGTACGACTCCGTGGCGCAACGGTAGCGCGTCTGACTCCAGATCAGAAGGTTGCGTGTTCAAATCACGTCGGGGTCAAGCTTCTTTTTTTTTATTCTTTTTCCATGAGTATTTTTGCCATTTTATTCACTCCCAGCGACCAGTTCGAAGGATTTCTCATTGGGTGGATTTTTCTTCTGTCTCCTCTCCATCACTTCGATTGTCCCGAAGCCCTACAGAGACGGAAAAATGGAGTGTTTAGTGGAGAAATTCACCAGAAAATCCCCATGAGAAATGCTTACCGTCATGCCGACAAACATTAGCACAAGTAGCATGTAAAGTTTCGTCCTGGAGCAAAGATAGGGACTCAAAGAGTATGTCACAACTGATCCCGTGGCTTCCCAGAGACGGAAATTGCTGAAGGCGGCTTCTTCCTTGCCGGGAAACAGAATTCCGCTAAGGGCTGAAGACACAGAAAAGACTTGTGCTAAAAACTGTTCTTAGTTGAGAAAACTACCCTCTTCCCCTTCGAGAGAGGGGAAACATCGAATCCTTCCAGCGGACTGGAAGGATTCCTTCCAGTTCTGAGAACCCTCCCCTAGCTCAACGATGGGGAAGTGCTTCCAGTTCTCAAGACAGTCTCCTCAAACACTCACCGTTGACTTGCACCAGCCACACGCCATCCGCGAGGCCCCAAACGGCCGCCATGAGGCAGTACACGAGGCCTGATGAGGCTTCGGGGCGCCAGAATTGCATCCAGAAGATGAGGCTGGAGTGCAGCACGAGATTCCCGAGCAGCACCGGAAGGCGACCGGTGATCTTGGTGAGGGCGCCAGCCAGAGCGGAGCCGACGGCATTGGCCACGCCGAAGAAGATCATCGCGTATCTGTGGGGTGAAAAAGAGGGGTTGTCTTTAGGGGAAGGTGGGGAAAGGAGGGGACATTTTTCGCTCTGACGGTTTTTCTCAATGACACTCTCTCTGGATTAGCATGCGATTTGGAGCAGAAATACACTAAGAAGTATTGCAGACGCTCAACAATAGTCTATGGACATGTTTACTATTGCTTTCTTGCAAGATATCGCAAAAAGAAGAGCAAAAAAATGGTAAGCTTTTCTTCTATTAATTTTCTTAAGAGGAAGATTTTAAAAAATTGAAAGAAAAGCTTATGAAATAGGAACAAAAATAATGAATATTTAATACACATGAAAGGTTGGGTGAAAACGTGGAGTGAATTTCAAAATTTCAAATTTTTGGCTTTCCCAGAGATTAATTAAAATACAAATCACATTGCTATGGTTTAATTGGAATGAATTTTGCTACACTGTGAGTTCAATTGAACATATTCCAATAATAATTGCACCCATAGTCAAAAAGCATAAATCGCGCATCAACCGTTCATTGCTAAATTGTAATCGTTTTATGTGTGCATTGCAGAGATAATTGCATCCTCACCCAATATTGGAGATTCCCCAGCCACAGGCCACGAAGGATGCCGTGAAGTCCACCGCGATGAAAGCCTGTTCGGCACCAATGAAGGCCGTGATGGGCAGCAAGAGCAACTGATATCTCTCCTTGAGTTGTCTCAGCGTCACAGCCAAGAGCTTTAAGCCCGAAAGTCCGGCACCGCGACGCTTTTTCTCGTATCTGGAAAAAATTCAAGTCCTACGCTCACAAAAACTTTGTATACTTGAGCGATAAATAAACATATTCTATTCTATTCTATTCTATTAAGGAGACTTATTGCACTGCAGCGCAGCATTGTTTGTGCCACACATTCAATATATTCTCAGCGGATCTGCACAAGAACGTGCTTAATATTTCTAGGTAAGCATCATGCATTCGGCGAAACGTATAATTCCCAACGTGTCTCTCTGGGTAGGAAAGGTAATTTTCTGCAGAATCAACACCGCCCTGTAGAGCATTTTGTCAACCGCGCGAGCACGTAGAAAATATGAGGCAGTGGTGCATTTGTGGTGAATTTGTGGCGTTGCGTTGGCACTTTCAACTGGAACTCCAACTCTGTGGGAGTTGATAAATAGCACGTTGGGGAATGGGATGGGGCGAGGGGGCGAGTGAGTTTATGCAGAAAACCACGAAATTGGCCTTCTTGGCATCCTGAAACACGCGCGCATCGTTCTCATCATCCCCAGAGGACGGTCGAGGGTAAGCATTACTTTCAGGGTGTAAATTTTGTCAGGCAAAAGGGGACAAAAAAAAACACTTGATGAAGATGTGGGAAAAGTGCACGTACCCGACAATTCATTTATAATACTGATGCTACACTTTTTCAAAGACACTTCGTTGCAGACGAGAAAAACCATGACATATTTACGAGTAAGAAATTCATTAATTCCATTCGTATATATTTTCAAAGTCACTTTCGGAACTTTTAACCCACTAAATTATGAACAAACTTCTGTTTATTTGTTCCATTGAGAAATTTAATTGCTAATTCATCTTATATTTATCAATCAGAACGAAGAGAATTTTATGATTCTTTGACTTCAAAACACTTTTCAATGAATTTCCCTTTGGAATCATATTAAATCTCAGTCAATTTATTCCTTTTTACCTATTTCCCACTACAATCAACTTTAAACTGCTCCTGAAGCTTGAATTTTTGTATCTTTCCCGACACAGTTTTGGGAAATTCCTCGATGATCCTCAAGTATCGAGGAATCTTGAAGTACGCAATCTTTCCGCGACAAAACTCCTTAAGTTCATCAATTGTGTAGCTCAGATTCCCATCACGGAGTTTAACGAAAGCGCAAAGCTCCTCGCCAAGTCGCTCATCGGGCACGCCGACGATGTAAACCTCAGCGATCTTTGGGGAAGTTGCCAAGAGGTTCTCGATCTCCTTGGGGAAGACATTCTCTCCACCCCGAATAATCATGTCCTTGAGTCTGCCGACAACTTTTCCGTATCCATTTGGCTGCAGGATGAACTGATCGCCGGTCTTGAGCCATCCGTCGTGACCTAGAATCTCCTTCGTCTTTTCCTCATCGCCCCAGTAGCGAATCATGGTGAAGTAGCCACGAACACAGAGCTCTCCAGGATCACCAAATGGCACCATGTTGCCCTCCTGATCGACGACTTTTGCCTCCACGTGGTCATGAACTTGCCCAACTGACTCCTTATCATCCAGCACTTCGCCGTCCTTATACTTGCCGAAGCTGACAGAGGAGTTTTCTGTTGTTCCATAAACATTCCTCGTCACTTTGACGCCCAGTACATTTGTGAGATCTTCCATGACCTGGGGTGGACATAAAGCACCACCGACGAGCGCTAAATCGACTTTGACATCCAATTTCATCTCTCTCTGCTTCCGCACCAAGTCAATATGCATCGTCGGTGTGCCGTAGATAACAGAACAGTTGTGATCTCTGATTGTCAATAAGGTTTTCTCAACGTTGTAGACTGGCGATGGAAGAACTATAGTTGCTTGGTTCATTAGACCCAGTGTGATCGATGTTATGGCACCGTAAACGTGGAAGAATGGCGTTGGAACACAAATCCTCTTCTTAAACACCTTCATGTTTCTTCCCACTTTGGCGCCATTGTTGATGAAAGCTAGGTGCTTCAGGAGAGCCGCTTTAGGCCTACCAGTTGTGCCTGAAGAGAACAGAATACTGCAACCACTGTCCGGACTGATGGTGTTCTGAATACTCTCAATCTTTTCGACTCGATCTGTTGAAGCTCTCGATGCAACATCACTCAGTTTGAGCACACCTCTCAAATCACACCTCGTGTCCATGATAACGTGGGTAAGTGAGGGAATTTTCTCGCAGGACAGCTTTCCGAAAGATGACTCTTGTAGTTCTGGAAGAATCTGCTGTAAGATTTCGTAGAAAGGTCGATTTCGGAAGATTTCACTCGTTACCAGAGCTTTCACGCCGACCTTTTGCAGGCAATACTCCAACTCAGATGGCTCAAAAGCTGGATTCAGAGCGACAAGAATCAATCCAGCTCTGGCAGCTGCGAAGAAGATTATCGGCCAAGAGATTACATTCGGAGCCAAAAGTGCCACACGATCGCCTCTCTGAAGGCCCAAGTCAATGAATCCAGCTGCCAAATTGTCAGCTTCGGTCCTGATTTGGTCGAAAGTCAGTCTCTTCTGCTCCTCAGGCGCAACAATCGCCTCAAGATCCCCATATTCACTTGCCACTCTGCGCAATTCTTGACCTATCGTTCGGTAAATCAGTGGCTGCGATCCGTTGTTGTGGAAGTAGCTCAATTCACTGGCTGTTGTGCTCTTTTCCCGAATCGATGCCACAAATTGGGGTAGTTTGATGAGTTTTAGTGAATTGCGAAGACTTGAGATCACCATTTTGCTGCTTGTTTTGCCACTGACTAATGAGATGATAACAGAAATCTATCTCCAGACTTCACTGAGTTGACTTATCTTATCACAATACTACTTAATGTACTATTGAATTTCAATTAGATAAGACAGCGCAAGCGTTGCAGTTGAACATGGCTTTAAACTCTCACATCTTAAAGATGAGCTGCGTTAGAGATTCAGCGCCTTGAGGAAAAGGGAAACTGACTATCTCGCAAGAATGGGGGTGGGAAAGAAGGAGGAAACTGCGAGACATTTAGACTCACGAATAGTTGAGGACATTAGGGAAAATTTCTTTTATCATCCACGCCTGTGGAAAAAGACGAATCAGCAGCACTTTCATCAAGATGAAGACACATTTAGACTATATAAGATGGCAATTCCGGGGAGATTGAAAATTTCTGCTGGCATTTGACAACAACGTCTGCTCAAATGGACAAGAAGACCTCATCAAAGTATTGCAATTTACAAAGGACAGTGTAAGAGAGCAAGAGCTTCTTGATGTTGAAAACTTCAAAGCATTTTTAAATCCTCTCAGGAGGAAAAATCAATTTTTCCCTCGGAAATTGCGATACACTGAAGACTATCAACAAAGGGCGATGATGGTGGGCAAAAACGGAGAATTTCTCAGAGAGATTTTTCTCTATTATTCCAAAGCGCACTGTTGAGACATTACTCGGCAGTGCCTAATAAGAAATTCCTCCCTTTAATATACATTTTGCAGTGGGAGAAAAAGTTATTATATATGTGGACATTGAGAGAAATAAGGGAATTTCTTTCTTTCGCAGTTTTTTTTCTCCCTTCGTTCACAACTTCTGTGGTGTTAAACAATGGAAATTGTGAGATTTTCCTCGTTCATCACGCCAGAGGAGGAATCCTTATTTCAATTTCTCCTGCCATTATCAAGCTGGAAAAAAACTTACTGCTTGGCAGGGGACTTGAAGGAGGTCTATATATTCTCAAGACAGTCTTCTAATCATTGTAATGATCTAAAAATGTAAAAAATTAATGCTTCTTTGACATTTTCAGTGGACATTGCGTATTTTCTACTGCTTATTTTCAATTTCACCATCAATTCTCTGAATTTGCAAATGTGTCTTGACGCTGAGAGGCATTTTAATCACGATTTTTTTCATCCAATTACGCCTAAGAGAGTGACAAAAGACACTTATCCAATAAATTAAATGTTTAATGTGTTCTGGAGTCACTGCAAAAAGTCCATCTCTCGCCTCGACGGACTCGAGAGGCATTTCAACAATAGTTTGGGCGGAGAAAGTAACTTTTTCCCCATAATGGGTCATTGGGGAAAGTTGAGGTCCTTCACGTCCATTAGTGGCCTAAGCAATTTCTCCTCCACAACCCTCAATGTTCCACTTTTTGTGCGGCATTTCTCCTCATGCGGGCTGCAAATTCAACACACACGAAATAATCTCATTTTATGAGCACAAGAAAATCATCAAGTTATTCCAATTTCTTCTGGTTGTGCATTTTGCTCCGACGCGTCTCAACTTAATTATGACAACGTGGATACAATTGTGAGGAAAGTTTGAATGGAAAGTATGATGATGGAAACTGTGCTCATTTCTTCACATTCGTCCATATTTGTGAAAGAAGGGAAATTCTTTCTTCACACTTTTTTCCCTCGATAGAGAGAGAGAGACACAGTTTGTGAGAAATATTTATGGGAAGAAAGTGCTTTAAAATGTTCTAATCCAACCTCAAAAATGATCCAGTGCTGAAGGAATTGAATTTAATGAAAAGAACCATAAATTCTCAAACGACAAACTTTAGCCCGCCAGAGAATGGCAAAGTTACGACTGTTTTATGACACTCCCGTAAACACATGTTGTGTCTAAACTTCAGCCCAAGAAGGTTGCTTAAAAGTCTCATTGCTTAAAGAAAATTTATTGAATTAATTTACTGAAACGTCCATTGATTCAAAATTATATAGAGTTAGCGTTTATTAAATTCCATTCAAATGACAGCGTCTGCCTTTCCTTCATGGGCGCGCGGGAACAAAAAAGGCACTCGCAGGCTGGGAAACAATACATTGTAGGTCGTAAAATTAAATTATTCATTTATTATCTCATTATATCAACACCCCAGACGCGCTAAACAACGTCTGTTGTGTCGTGGCCATTCATTTCCAGTTGATATGAGAATGTCTAGAGGGAACTTTAAACATTTTTCAGCATTTTCTTCGTTTATCTGTTGTAGAAGGGAAAAGTTTTGCACGCGTTGCGAGGAAGAAGTTTAATGCCAAAATGATGATGTTCAATAAGTGTGTTGAAAAGTTTAGTTATAACACTAATTGGCTCCTTGCGACTGTCATTTGCATGCCTTCGACTAAAGACAAAAAGCTCCCAGAGAGCTTTTTGGAAGGTAAAATGAGTGCGATTGGCATTTTACATAAGAGCAAAAGAGAAATCCTATAATTATAGAGTTTGTCGATTGGAACATGTGAGATTATGTTTGTTATACACAAGATGATGTTGTTGTTCCGTCTTCAAAATAAGCTTATAATATTCAAAATACCTTCTTTGACAAAGCATTATAATTAATAAGCTTTGTTCAAATAAAGCAATTAAAGTTACTTTAATTACCATGTCAATCTCACTCAAGCTCTTGATATTCTCAATCTAACTAAAGCCACATTGAGTGCATTTTACCAGTTATCTGAAAGGAAACTTGTAAATATAACTTTATCCAGTTTCTTTGCGTGCTTTTGCGAAAGTCCAGTGAATTTTCTGTGTCTGAAAGTGTTTGTACAGACCGAAAAAGTGTGCCACAATCACTTGATCAGAGACTGGAGAATTCAATGTTTGCAGAGTTGTTGTTGGACTTGTGAGAATTGTCCAAAGTTTCCGACGCTCCTTCTGTTGCGTTTGCACAGTGCGATGAGACAATAGATTGTGGAAATGAAGAATGACAATGAGAACAGACATCACTTAATTTCTAACCATCTTCGAAGTGTGTGTTGAGGGGCTTGTATGTCTGCGAAGCATTGCAAAAGGGGCTCAAGAATTGTCATGAATGGATTGCGGAGAAATGTTGAGAATAGCGTGGCTAAGTGCGAATTTCTTCTATTTAGAAATGACGATAATTATTGATAAGCCAATGAAGCGATCCACCCCTTGGCGAAGAGCTCTATATTCTCGCTTGCTTGCGTTTGTTAGAAGCAAGTCACGCTCTGTTTATCCTGTTTACACCAGAAGCATTTACCGAAAGGCGTGTCAGGGCGCCGTGGGAAAGCTCTGCGGGATCTCTCGTCTCGCGTCGGGATGTTGGGAGCTTTTCCATGTGCTTCCGAGGCACCGTGAGTGCCTGATGGAAAAGTGGCGTTGCGGCAGAATTTATATTAATGGTGTGCGAGTGAGTATTAGCCCGTCTTATTTTTCTACCCTCTGTGCGCGCCACCTTTTTTCTTGCCGCCCGCCCGCCATCAAAAGCCTATTCACACCATCTCATATCACCACACACACACCCACACACACACAAACACATATATCCCTTGAAGCCTGATTTATAACCCAGTCAAGTTTGCAATATAGCGAAAGTTTCCTGACTGCGTGTAATGTACAACAAGCAACACTGCCTATCGCATCTTTTTGCACCCCCGCGCGCGTGTGTGTCAGTAAATTTTGAATTGATCCGCATTTGTAACCAATTCACGGCAATATTTTCTCGTAAAATGGCAAACAAAACAGCATTTACACGAATCTGTGCGATAATCCCAAGCTTAGCTGCTGAATTATTTCCTGAGCAAATCAAATAACTGCCATTGCGCACAACGTGGCATATTTTGCATAATAAATGCATGCCAAAATGTAAAAGGGACGCATGAAGTGGTTTTTACTACTGTGAAGTGTGCTTCTGCAAGTAAAATGAGCGATGATGCAGTTTGAATCTGCTTGATGTTGTTTGAAAGCAAATACTTTTGTGTTGTAGAATCGCATGTGCAAAAAGTGTGAAGAAGTACGATTTCTCCCATTTCCACTTTGAAGAAATTGACTTTGCTCTTCCTTGTTTAGTTTCCTGGCTTATTTGACTTTATTTGATACTGTTGCATTGCTTCGTATTCTCTATTTGCTAACGTTAGTGTTATGAAACTCACTGTATTGAACGTTTAGCTACTAACATCAAAGATAGAATCCCACAAAACACATGTGGTAGATATGAAGACGACATATTTTCATCTGTTTTCTTATGCTTTCTCATTCTGATAAATTTTATATCACACGATTCTCAGCACATAATCAGCCGAGAAGTCTGTTGATGAAGGCAAATTCCACTTGGAGTGATTCCAATCAAATGTTCATACCACATTAAATTACTTTATGCAGAATCTTGCATATTCTGCACAGTGCAAATAAGTTTATAAATGAAGTTTCCAGGCAAAGGAAGATCATATGAAATATTCATCTAACTTTCTCTTTGCACTTCTTCAACAGAATGCGCACTAATAATTGCTTGCTTATCGTATCGTGTGTAAGTGTTACACACTCGGAAAATCACGGGAAATCCTGTGCAATTTTCCTAATGGACGACTTTCATCTGTGGAATCTAGATAGCGGTGCGGAAGTGTTGACCATGAGAGGAAGTCGGAGAGAGGGTGTGGGAAGTAAATTGACAGGAAAATCCTCAAGCGACGACACTCTCGGCGCTCTCGAGGGAGCGAGACTGGAGAATTAATTTACCTTGTCAGGGGATCCACTCCAAACGCCACCGCCAGACAGGCCGTGAGCATGCAAGCCAGAAAGATGCCGGAGAGGATGTGGATATGCCAAGGCTCAGGCGGACGCAGATTCGCGTTCTCCATGGCGCTCACTGTGCTTGGGCAGTAGTTGCTGCCGCAAATTGCCGCCACATCCCGCAGGTGAGACGAATTAGCCGGACTAGAGTGGCCAGACGAACCAGTCAAGTGGGTGAGAACTGCCGAGGAGATGAAACACATATATCATTAGTATGTGGAGCACGGCAGCTCATCAGGAAACTTATCAGACGAACAGAAGGAAGCTGAAGATTGCAAATGCCAATGATAGTTTGGGGATTTCTCTGGAATTTCCACGCTGATGAATCGTGATGGAATTCTAGGGCTTCATGCGCTTTCATACAATTTAAATAGATTTCACGTTTGCCACAGAGTATTGATGGGTGGGGGATTCAATAAAGTGTTTTGATGAGCGAGTTGAGATTTTCATGAAGTCTAAAGGTGTGTATTTTAAGAAACATACGTGGTAGGAAATAAGATATTTGGAAATTACAATTTATATCATTTTCTGTCTGTACTGTAAGATTTGTGTGCTGAAAACACGCGAGTCTATCCGCTTTGTGAGACATTTTCATCACAGTCTTAGATGGTTTGGGAGCTTTGAGGAGACCTACAAACGTGCTCTTCAATATTAATACCAATTTTTCACACTCTCTCGCCGCGACTTCCTTGTACAGCGAAAGTATAACAGTTTGAGATGAAGAAGAATGGAGGTAGAAAAGTAATTTGGACGTGTTTCTCATTTTCACACCCTCGCTCGTCAGCATCACGGCGCACATTTCAATTTACTACTCACGCAGGAGCACAATTGTAATTGACTCATCCCAGCGGAGTGTCGAGAAAATGACTCTGTGTCGTGGGAATTCCGCCTGTTGGCCTCGTGACTTTCGGGAGCTGACGTGGCGTGAAGGAGTGACATGTTCATGGTCTCGCTGGGACACTTACCTGAGGACGAAATCAGGTTGCCCCACACTTGTGCCATTTGGTAGAAGACGAAGAACAGCCCGAAGAAGCGCACCACGGCCACGTCGCTCTTCTTGTCATTGCGACCGCCGAAGCGTGTGAAGGACTCCGCCACGACGGTGAGATAGGTGCACTTGGCACACCACAGCAGACCACCGCCGAAGCCCACGGCCAGGCCGGCGGGCAGGAGAGTGTAGGCCCGCGGATAGAACTGGGCAGCGATGAAGGGCATGTAGGCCACGAAGGAGAGCGCGATGGTCCATTTGCAGCCGAGCCATCTGTGGAAAATGCAGATGCCAAAATAAATCACATGCAATGACAGAAACACTTCAGGATTCTCACCGCAAAATTTAGCTTCTCTATTTATAACTCTGTTTATTATAGTGTTCTCTTTCCCCGTTCAGATCTCTCGAAAAGTTCAGTGACTGAATACTATGAAATTCAATCGATAAAAGCACCCCTTTATTTCATTTCATTACCACTGATTATATTTTGTGCAACCTGTCTGCGATATTTGAGGAAAATTGCACTTGAGATTGATGAGATTTTGTGTGAGATCAATTAAAAGTTTCCCATTGGCAGTGCTTCAGAAATTGGCAGAATTGATTCAATAATCTCTTTATCATTGCACTATAAAATTTATTGTTCAGTCTCCGGTGGAGTAATTAATCACGCTGCAATGCAATGAAAAGCTCCCTGGTGGCATTTGTGCACTGACGATTGGAATGGATGGTGTCGAGCAAGAGTGGAGGAGATTCATTGGAATTTATGGCTTACGTCAGACGCTTGATTGTCTCGCTAATTAATTAAAACTCATGCGACAAGAGTGGGTATTCTCCGTCACTGCTTCGGTGTGTCAAAGGATTTTTGATTTCAAAAGCCAATCACCCACTTCGAGTGCTACCAATTTAAGATATGAGCGAATTGAATTGAAATGAATGTGTAAAGTTGAATTTTCCTTAGCAACAGACATCTTGAGTTATATCGTGAGAAATTGTCACCACTCGGAAGAGATAATTTATTTTAGTATTTTTATGCATAATTTCTCAGAAACTTCTTCCAAGGCTTCTCCTTTAGACTTTGGTCGGCAGCCAAAATGTTAACTAAAAGCACTGACAAGAGACTTTACGAAGAAAACCACAGACAATTCGTGTGAAAATTATTTCTTCTCTGGCAGTGGAAAAGTGAGAAATTCCTTGCCATGCATATGGGGAAAGTTTGCTGTAAATTTGCTGACATTTATGACAGAACTTCTCCATTTCTCAGACATCGTTAAATATTTTATTGCAATTTTCTAGACCACTCTCGTGCAGAGGGAAAAGTTATTTTTGCAATCTTCCTTCATATTTACCCCTGAAGAAGAAAGAAAAAATCCTTCTTTTATCAATTTAGTAATTGATATACTTTTAACTTTTATAAATTGCTCTCCCGACGATAAAAGCTCGGCGTTATATAACCTTTAGAATTAATCCCATCCAGAATGCAAAAGTGTTGTAAAGATGCCTTAAGTAAACCCATCATTTTATGTACCATATAAACCCTCTTTAAAGTGACGCTAAAACTCCTCAGTTCGTGCCGAAATCTCGTCTTTAGCGTGCTGGCAAAACTCACCATTGCCAGCCGTTGATAAACAATACTTTCCGGGGGTGTGAATACACGGAAACAACAGCAAACCCTCCCTTAGAAATTCAATATATGTGTACACGTCCCGACTTTGAAGCCACCACGGAAGCATATAGAAAATGGAAATAGTTTTGCATATTCTTTACATTTTTCATCAACACTTTCCCCCTCATTGGTGGCTTATCGAACAGCCTCGCTGCCTGTGACGCGATGCTGTGTAAAATTAAAGTGAGATATATCAGCAATTTGCACAGTCTACCCATCTAATGTGGGGTGTTTTGCCTGATATTTGATGGGATGATAGGGAAAAGCGATAAGGGGCTTTCATTTCAGATGAAAATATTCCCTTGGCAGATTCGTTGGATTTAGATTTAGAGCAACAGCGTAAGTTCAAGAGTAGTTTCTTGGTTCCTAATGCTTCACGTTCTCTTTCTGGAGAAGCTCCAATGCAAGGGGGAAAATGATTACTGAATTTAAACCATTGACTTTGTGAGAATTCAATCAAAATCAAGTTTAAGCTTAAAAGGCATATTAAATTTCCAATTGTATTTCTCACAGGCAAGTTTGGCTAGAGCGTCAATCTTTTGTTCAAAAATCGATTAGTAATTTTCCCCTTTGCTCCAGTGCCCAGCTTAATAGTTCAACATATTATGGAGTTGAGCCAAATTGAGCAAAGTGTTTAGCAATTTACATGGTCAATTTTGGCTTTTTGGCAATTGAGATGAAAAGTGACTTAATTTGAAATGCAATTTCTCTGGTATTTGCAGACTGTGTGGAATGACAATGAAAATCGGCGGTAATTTTGGCTTGCCATCGCAATCGTATAACAATAATATCAAAATGTGATTTATGTCTTCCGAATGGACTAAAAACGATTAATTCCCAATGAAAGAAGAGTCCATAAAAGCAATAAAAAGCGAATATCGATAAAAAATATTTGTTTTCTCATCAATATAATTCGTTGTTTGGGCATCTTTTTTATCACCACTCCGGAGGCATTTTGGGCGCGTTGGCAGAAAAACCGTGCAATCGTCGAGTGATTTTGCGTTAAATGAGCTTTCTTTTATCGCGTGAAATTTTATTTGTCCTCGGGGTGATGTGAAGCTTTCCGCTCGTGAATTTCTCATGGAATTGATGAGAGTGCGTGTATTGATGAATTTATGGTGATTTATGCAGACTGAGGCGCTGGGCTAAAGCTGAAATAATGACTTTATCTGGACATGTTTATCAAGTTGTGGTGCCATGGAGATTTCAGGTGGCCCATTTGTGCGCCGGGGCAATCAATCAAGGGCCCTGCAGCGCAGTGTCAGGATGTACTTTAATTGATAGTCCAATCAATTTGGCTGGACGGAAAATTCCACCTCAATCCACAAGTGCTGAAGACATCCTATCAACTCCTGTGGAGCGTGAAAGCTCTCCACGTGTAGGTGTGTTTACCAGGAAAATATCCCATAAAAGTTCACCCAAATCTCCGGGCAGGAAGTTTTGCTAGTCGGGACGAGGAGAAGTTCTCAGCAGGCTTTCGAGTCTATTGAACTGCAAGTAATGGAAGCTCCTTCCAAAGTTCATGATGCGATGGTGTATTTTTATGGAGATTACTGCCCTTTTTCACGCCTTTTTTTCCTTGTCCCTCCAGCGCGCACCCCTGAAGAAGGGCTTCTTCTGCAAAATGGCGAATCTAAAATTAACTTCCTGACCTCACTCACACTCTTGCTTGTGTTTATTTCTGGCCCTGAAACCTCCTCCTGAGCGCAATTCAGCACGTCAATCGGCGACTAATGTGACATTTTGTCTATCGATTTCCTACCTCTTTAGGCCATCCCAAGTGCGTGCTGAGAAAGACAATTATTTTCTGCGTGAGAGCACGCAAAAGGTGTCCAAAGACGCGGACTTGAGGTGTGTGTGTGTGAATTTTTAATAGAACAATCCCGAATGGAATCTACCAAGGAAAATCGTGTACTTCAGTATATACACAGAAAGATGAAATTATTCATGAGGAGGCGTGCAAAACGTCCCGGGTGGCTTCCTTCGCTGGATGGAATCAGTATTAATGGAATTGTGGTTGAGCTTTAAGGGAGAGAATTCTTCGTTGTAAAATAAAAAGTCACACTTTATGTCTGCCTCAGGTCACAATGATTTAAAAGCTCGTTTGGGTAAGAATTAAAGTCACCTGAGCTTTACATTGAATGCGCCAGAGAAATGGGAGAAGAAAAGCAAACCACTTGAACACGTGTGAGACTCATTGTTCGAAGGAGAATCGTGTTGGAAGCTTTTATTTACCGTGACTGTTAAAAGCTCCTTCTTCCAATTTTCAAACAATCCCCAATATCTTTTGCTCCCTCGCGAATATATCACTCAAATCCCACTGAGGGACTTAATCCTTAATCAAATTATCAGACAAGGGAAGAACGGTGGAATTCCCCTAAATTAATTCTTCGCTCTGGCTGTAAATTTTTCAGTAGATTCACAAGACAAAGAGCTCGTAAATCATCCCTCGCAATTGCTTCCGGCATTACAACGGTCACCCTTGGGAATTTCAATTAAAATGATAAATATTCGAGCTCGTTCGAATTGCTGGAATTGCATTGAAGTGTCGAATGCCGGAAGACATCTCAAGTAAGTGTGGTCAAAGAGATGTTTTGCCGGTCACGAGCGAAAATATGCAGATGATCAGCAACTCATGCTTGATTCCCTGGACTTGGTGAATGGATTTCTGCACTTTTGTGCGCTTCGGCGACAGGTCAGTAATCTCTCGTGACCCTCGCACGATTGAAGGTTACTGCACTCTGGCATTCCCACTCACTCTTGGACACTCTCGCGTGGCTTTAAACTTTCAAATCGATTGTTGGGAAATTCCAAGAGTAGGTGAAGTTTAAAGTTTCAGAGAGCAAATAACCACTCGGAAGAGTCGGAAGCAGATAATGGCTCTTGGGAAATAAGTTGGAGATGGCTTATTACTAATCCATTAGAATTATTTAACATTCCCATTTCCATTCCCCATCGACATCTCCAAATCCATCAAAAAGCTCTTCAACTCTTAAGAACCCATTGCTCCACACAATTGAACCAAGAAGTTCTGCAAGATACCTGAATTAGTCATGAATTTTACGTGTGATTGTACAGAATAAATGTTGATACATTTCACTGAGTTAAAGCACTTAAAGAGTGAAGAAGTGCTTCAGTCATAACACTGAGAGCTGCAGGTGAGGGCTTTATCCCTCTGCCGTAAATCATCCCCATTTATTCTGCCCCAGAGATTATTCCCACTGCCATCAGTTACACTGGAGCAGAAGAGGTTGCAAGAGAGATGGCGAAAAGCATCGAATTCATTGGCATTCTCTCGATCTCTCTGTTGGAATTTGAATTCTCGCAAAGTGTGCTCTCTTCGTCGCTTCGAACCTCCGTTCACGCTTGATGGCGGCAAGGGTGTGAAATTCGGATTGGCCAGACTCACCTAATGACCGCCGCGGGCAGGAAGATGTTGGAGAGGATGAGGGAGCCGTAGATGGCGGCCAGGGTGAAGGTGCCCAGGGAGGCGTCCGAGTTGACGGAGCTCTGCAGATTGGAGGTGCCGTGAAAGGCTGTAAAGTGCACCATAAAGGCGAAGCCCAGAATTATCACATTCTTGATAATGCGGAGGTTCTCGTGGGGCGACAGGCCTGTCTCTGAATGCTCGTCACGACTTGCGACTCCATTTGGTGGATCGCTCAATTCTCTAGATGGCATTTTGATGGCCTCTTTTTACTGGGCACCGAGAGTGGATGGGCGGCTCTTGAAATCGACTGGCACACGTGACTCTGTCCTCCCACCCCTGGATGTGATGGACCCTTTCTCGCCTGATGGCCCCTCGCGTCGCTTCCTGATGGCACCCTCACGAGCCCTGCAAAGGAGATGGTGGAGATTGAAAATGATGAAAATTTGCAGGGACACGCCAGTAATTGTGCTCATAAATTATTTCATCCTTCAGAGTCGAAGAGAGGAACCTCGTCTCAAGCACACAATGCCACATCTCCGAACAGCCCCACATCACAGACATTATGGTGAGAGCAATTGGAAGACCCGCACTAACTCTCGGAGTGGATGGCAAAAAAGTGCTGAAAATGGGATGCGAAGGACACTGAGAGAGAGAAAACTACAAAATGTACATCTAATAAAGTTTCATTCTTGATGGATCGTTATGACGCTGGAAAATTTCACCAGAATCTCCGTGACAATGTGGAGATTCTGGACGAGGAGCGGCAACAAAGGAATGGATGAGGATTCACCAAGAGAGATTAACAACCATCAGTTTTGCAGCAGCTTTTTGCCAACTTTCGCTCTCTATACATAGTCTATGTTTTATCTCCGTGTACCGCTGAGATACAGCAAGAGAATGTTTTATGGATTTTCTCGTGGTCGCCTTGAGACACAAGTGTCGAAAGTCAGTGAGTCAACTTGAATTTCGGTCAAATGTAGAATTAAAATTTGATCAAAGCTTTCGAGGATTCGCTTTTCATGTGCACACTAAAAGGACAGAGAAGTTAGAGTTCTTTTTTCTTCTTGCGCCATTCGATTATTAGACACTGAAGCAGCTCGGATTCTTCTTCATTTTCTATGGGTGCACATCCATAAAACATCCCAAATGCTCAAGTTCAAGAGGGCAAAAAACACAAGGGATGGGAAAAAAGTGCAGAATGGCGACACACGGGGAGTTGAAATGTGCCCAGGATCTCCAATTGACATCCCTTTTGCCCTCCAAGCACGGGACGAAAGTCAAAGAAATAATTTATTCTGCTCCATGTCTTTAAAGTGTGTCTATGGAACACTGGAAGCACAGCCTGTGTTCTCACGGTTGGGCAAAAAGTGGATGAAATGAATTACACAAATATTTCCCTTTCGTCCCCCGATTCATACATATGAAGGGGTCATTAACTAAGCTTTAAGCATCCACTCTGAATGAGAGCAACAACATGGAGTCCTCGGTGAAATTATATCCGTGAAGCAAACAGTGGCTTATTGTGAAGTGAAAGAAACTTTATTATGAAAATGCCTGCGTTTCTCAGCTTTCTTCCTCGAGGGTTTTCTTGTTGCCGCAACAAAGGCCAATTGCGAAACTTCTCATTATACACACTGTGAAAACTTCTTAAAGGAACTCTACGAAGGGATGCCATGCCCGTGAGCTTTTCCAAGTCGTGTGCTTTTATATGCATTACCTATAACGTCATGGCTGAACAATTGGCACTTTTCGATCCAATTTGACACTGTTTGAGTGTGTGTTGACATGTGCCAAAAGTCTCACGAAGCGAACTTATACACCTCTTGTCAATCAAGTATCCTTAAGAGAATTATGGCTCAATGATTTGCTATATTTTTCATGAATCTCTCCACGATGGCAAAGGAGTTGTCGAAGCAGGTCACGTAGCGAATATCGATAATGTTTTGGCGAAAGTTTGTCATCCTTGAAAACTTTTCTACACCCTATTGTTGCTCATCGACGTGAACTTCTTCTCATGCCTGTTTGTTCAGTCCTGCTCGCAATCATTATCACAATGCAATGACCTATTTTGCTGATTTATTGTCATATGTTGAAGAGTTCCACGAGAAAATGCAATGTGAAGGCAGTATAAAGCAGTTTAGGAGCTTTTCACTGTGGAAAAGCAGAAGTTCATTAATTCACAAAGCATGCAGATTTTTGCTTTCCTTGTTTTAATAAAAAGTTGTCCTTTCATCAACAATGTCGACAATTCTCAACAGTTCACTCAACCATATTATGCAAGTAATTGAAATTACTCGCACTGAAATGAATTCCTTATGAAGGCTTTTATGTTTGCGTTGCACTCGTAAAACTGAAAGCCACCCTCATTCAGAGTTCTATGAGAAGAAATACAACGACAAGAATATATCAAAGATTTTTGATGACAAAATACTTGAGATTTTCTCAGGAAAATGTTATCTTGATGCGAAAGTTATGCCTTTAAAGCACACTTTTTTCACTTTGATCATTTATTCTTCTTTCCATACAAAATCAAATAAGTATTGGGTTTTTCGATTCTCCCAGCATTATCTCGATACTGTCCAAGCACAAATTGATCGAAGTATTGAAGACGTTCTTGGAAGATTTCCTCCTCTTCTTCTGCTGTAACATTCTTGGCGAATTTACTCGGCATTGATTTGAGGAAATTCTCTTTTGCCTTATCAGAGCCAAATTCGAAAGGATCTTGCCTGAATTCTGCTTTTAGATCCTCGAATCCTGATCTCTCCATGAACTTCAATGCTTTGGCTTTGGCCTCGTCAAGCATCCTGTAAGGATAAACGTAGAAATCCTGCCATCCTGTGAAATATTCCTTCCATCGAGGCTTCTCACAAACCGACAAGATTGCATCGATAACCGGAGAATCGGCCACAATTACGAGGAAGCAATCGCCACCGGGCTTAAGAAGGCTATAGATGTTGTCCATGGCCTGCTGCTGATCCTTAATCCACATCAAGCAGAAGAATGACGTCACATGATCGAAAGTTCCGAGTTTTCTCGCCAAATTCCCATCAATTTCCACTCCAATGTCCAAAACTTCGCACGAAACTCGTCCAATTCCAGCAAATTCCCTCTTCTGCAGCTCAACCATTGGCTCAGAGATGTCCGAAAGCACGAGTCTGGAGAAGTTGGACGACAATCGAGGATACAAAGCCACGCGAATTGTGTTTCCAGGTCCGCTGCCGATATCCAAAACCGAATCCTTTCCATCCTTTCGCCACTCTATCCAGTCGAAGAACTCATCCAAGAGCACTTTCGTGTAGACTTTGGTGTAATTGTTTCCCTCAGAATATGCTTTGGCATTTTCAAAAGACATTTTAACTTTCACAGAATACTTTGCCGTAACGTCTTGAGAGACCAAATGTGACTGACGCAATGCTAAGGAGAATAGCGGAATTTCATGTGTTTCATAGACGAGCAGTTAAGCTGTCTTGAGAAATAGTTAAAATGTGTGTAAGAAAAGTGCGTGAGATAAGAAAATATTGAGAGTAATGATAAGTTTACACTGTTATCAAAGGGAGAAGTTTTGAAAAATTGAAAAACTACACGTGAGAGATTATCAATTAATTTAAATACATGCCTTAGGAAAAAGACTGTGAATGTCATTTTTTTCATGCTTATGAGATTTTAGACTCTTCAAAGCTTTTTGGATCTTAATAAGGCCAACTTTTGAATTACTCTTAACACTCATGTTTGTGTAAACACAAAATCTCAATTGCACGTGAACTGAGAAAAGTAGATAATTTGCCACAGTTTTTCCTAATTCTGCTGCGTGATTGTTATCATTTTACGATTTGATAACATTTCCTATCAACAAATTGCGCAATATTTAATACCATGTGCTTAATGATTTTTAAATTAATGAGTGTATTAGGTTAATATAAATTTATTAAATATATTAACAGGAGAAACACAAAGTATTCAGCGAAATAATAAACACAATTAAAAGCAGTGAAACTCGAACTCAGAATCATTAAATCCATTGAATCCTCAGAAGTGTAAATGAGTTTGAAACAGAATAATAATAATAATAACAACGAAAGCGGGAAATTGATGCAGTTTCTCATGTCGTGTTTCTTTCTGAAGGTTTCAGCGTGGGTCGAAATGCAATCTAAAGTGTGTCAACCAACTGACTTTACCGAGCGAAAACGTTGAAAATTGCGCTACAAATGTTAAGGTGTTACTTTTAATTATACCTCTTGGCAATTTTCAGGATTTTGTGTTCGTTCTCAGTGTGAAATTCCTTCTCACTCTTTCACTTGAACGGCATTTTTTTTTCTACACACTTCTGCAATGAGGAAAAATGTCAAAAACCACACTCCGAATGCCTAACAAATGACTAAGAAAGTGTTATAAAAACACTGGATGGATTTGGTAAACAAACTGCGCAAAAACTATGGCCAACTTGGGGTTTTCACGAGATTCGCACTGGGAGATTTTTTAAGATGTTTGAGAGCTTTCGAACAACTCCTGCGGATGTTGTCAGCACGTTGCACTGCACTCACGGTCAATTTAAGACTGTAAATTGAAAGTTTCTTCCTCAATGGAAACCAACAATCTCAGTCCAGTCTCTCTCATTCCGTCAACACCAACGAAATGCAAATCATAGTTTAATTCCATCAATAAGCATAGTTTCTCTCATTCGCTCGTCTCTGTGTTCGGTCGCGATTGCCGCTGGAAACGGGTTTATTCAATCTGTTGAGTAATCTTATGATTTGACCGTCAACACACGACGCAAGGGAGAAGTTCGCTTTCAATTAAGTGAATTCACATGGAAAATTGCTTTAAGAAATTCTGGGCAAAACTTACTCCAGTTTTCCCCACAATTTTCACAAATTGCCACATTAGCACACCATGACGGTGGCCATAATGAGACGCCAAAGCACCTCGCCAAAGATATTCAATTCCTCTTTCACCACAATGAAAGAGAATTCCAACCTTTTAAATTATCTTTTATGATTTTCGTCATTTTCAGAGATTGCAGTTTTATCAAAATATATTTTGAGAAAAATACAGATAACACACATCTGTAAAATCTTATTTTTCACAGCTTTCAGTGGCAATTAAGTTAAATAAAAAATGTACACTCTTTGTTATTCAGCAGGCAAAGCCCAAATTAATTAGAGAGAAAGAGTATGAAAAATTGCCTGGATAATTCTTCTCTGTCTCATTAAGAGCTCATAATCGCACTGTTGAGTTGTGAGCCAAGGATCGTTAGTCAAAGTGTGAGTGATAAAGCTCGGTTTTTCAAGAAATGCTGAAACGAGTTTAATTGATAGAAAATTGTTGGGACTAATAAAAATAATTGAAAGTGAGTTCCTTATTAATGACTAAGCGCGAGGAAATCTTTCAAAACGTGTTGCTCGTGGCCTCGAAAACTTTAATTTCCTCTCTTTCACACCTCTTGCAAATTGAATTCTGCAATTCTCATTATGTATTCACTTTGGGATTGTTTTAAAGCTCGTAATTAGTGGCGATGCAACAAGTAGGAGCACTTTTAAGAGATTTGCCACTCTAATTTTGATGATGAATGCATTTCCATGTTACAACGACTATTTGTATGCACTCTTGGGCAAATGAGTTGGTTATGTATGAGACATTATGCATAAACACATGACGAGGTCACATAGAATGCTCCGACAATGCTTTAAATGCAGACATAATTGAGGACAAATGCTTTTCAAACACACCCGTTTAGAGCAGATGATAAATTAAGTTGTCAGGAGAGAGAAAAGTCAACAATTGAAATTCACAATGGAATGAAGATGTTTAATATAGAAGCATTGAAAGCAAGGCAAAAAGTGTGTTTTCTATAGACTATAAATACAAATGATGAGTTGTAATATTTATATTATGATTTTTTGCATGAAAGTGAATCTTAAGGACCATTAAGTTCGCAATGAAACTTCTATCATTCCATCGTAAGTTCGGATATGCAATCTTCGTCCTCTGATCGAACTTTTGGCAACCTTAAGCCAAACATGAAAAAGCAACAGGAAGTCTATGGCGTTGCCAAAAATGAAACACAAATAAATCTCTAACACAATAATTTACGATTTAGCTGACACTGTGAGATAAATAACGTGATAGAATGAGGGCAAAATGACCAAAAATTAAATATCTCCGCACAATATATCACTGTCATAATGCAGCAAAGTGTGTGGATGAGCGAAGTTTTTCATAACGATGGCTTTTTTTTACTCTATGCGGTTGAAATTAATCAATTTCGTGTTTTTATACCGGAACAAATGGAGGCCATTTTGTCCTTTTGTTCACATTTGGCATTAATTGTTGGCTGAAATCAGCAATATAGCAACAGACGGAGACTAGATAATGCTGAGGGATGTGGGCACAGTGCAATTTGTTTGAGCAAATAGTTTGTCTGCCATGAAACAATGGAAAGTGGTTAATCAGTGCTGACAAATATCGCATGGCAAATACGCTGAGAAGTAAATCTTAACATACTAATTCCTGGGAAATGTCCCAAAGATACCCAGGAAGACAAATCACTTAGTTACTCAGGACATTCCTCACTTTAATGCACTTTAATCCTCCGCATCTTGCTGCGGAGTTATCGCTTCAGTGGCTTTAGCCCCAAGGCTAATCGGGTGCCATTTCAGCATGATATTAGCACTGGAGTGAGATAAGCAAGCAATCAATAATACTATACTTTTCTTTGAGCTTCTACCATTCGCCTTAAGTCGCGATGGGTGAAATTTCATAAGCTCCCGAGCGCTTTCAGGCAAAATATTTACACAATTATTGCCGCTTTGCAGCGAAAAATCTCCTTTGTTGTCGCATTTGAGAGCGATTGGAAAAATCTTCGTGGGGCGTAAAAGCAAAGTCTTGTTAAGTCTTATCAATGTGATTTTCCTCTTCTCCGGTCTGACACTTTTTCTGCAAACACCTGTTTTTCCTCCTCAGCACACTGGTGTGTGCGACTGTGTTCATCCAATCGAGCAACTTTTCCCTCCGTCTTGGCGCGGAAAAAGCACTCAGCGGAGCTGCGTTTGGCCCTAAAGGTGCCTTTTTTTCTCACATAATGAAGACAGGCATTCAGTTTTTGGGCTCAAGATAGATTTTAATTAATCATTTGGCCTCAATGTCGAGCGTGGGTGGTGAACAATGAGGAATTCAATTTTGGATTGAAAGCCATGGGAACTCACGGGGTGCAAAATACTTTGAAATGGGAAAATTAAATCACATTTTGCACACCGAAGAAATACATGGCTTTCACCCTGGATTGCTGTGAAAAATGAAGCTGGAAGGGAAATATATTGCTATGCAAGAGACGATTAATGTATTATTTGTTCGCGCATTTTATCTACGGTGATGATTTTTCAGTGGTCAGTAACGTCAATTGATGGTTTGTCGGTGATTCCTGGTCGCTTTCCTCGTTATTTTATGGCTTCACGTTTATTTAAGAGCCACTTTTTCATGGCTTGTGGTCACCGTGAAAGGGTAGGAATTGAAATCACCTGGTCATGATAAGCTCAATCGGAGTAAAAGTGTAGAATTCGCACCTGCGAAAGAAGGAATGAATGAATGTTTGTGCTGTCACTGAATACCAACAATATAATCTGTGTGAAATTGATGAATGACTTCCTTTGAATATTTCATGAATTGCAAAACACTCTGAAAGATGGTGCATTTTCAGTTGAATTTATGCAACGTCTGCATTGAATGGAGCGCAGGGTGCGAACCCCATGGAATCAGTTCCAATTTATAGGTGAGTGACAAAAAAGCTCGTAAAGCGTCCGAAAAGGGGTTCACTTGAGCCTCACGCAAGGCTGAAAAGGCTGTAATGGGTGAGATGCGCGTGGCATAAAAATCTACTTGAACAAATCGATCAGTTCAATTATGCAAATTGGCCCTTCGCACTGTCACATCGTGTGTTTGGACTGACTGAGTAGACAGCATCCTTCACAGGATTGCGTATATGTGAAATAATAGGACGTTTCAGATAGGAGAAACCCTCTCATATTGCGCACTGTCATTTCCGCTCTCAAACTATACTGAGCTAAAAGCGTGGAACGCATTTTTAAAAGCCTTCCTCTCACTTCCTGTTCGACATATAATCCCATATGTGCATTTTCACAGTACGTGAAATTCAATCTGTGTTGAATCTGCGACAGGAAATTTTACGATTCGATAAAGAATGAAAAATATAGTGAAAACTGAGGTGAAATTTCTTTCCGGATAAATTGGAGAGCTTTAAACTTTATGTATATGCCAATTTCTCTAGTTGTCATGTAAAAATTTAGCTCAAATATAATATTTTCATTCGTATTCGAAACTCTTTTACAAACTTATATTGCTCAATGTGGATTTCTTAATATCCTGAGTTTTAAATTAAATGAAATTCACCAAAGTATTTGGCATATTTCATCGCATTTTTCCTTTTCACCGGACATTTTACCCACCTTCAATATTCCATTAAGCAAATGGAACGAAAGTGATGAATTTATCAGATGAAATGTGGGACAACTTTTAATCTCGATGCCTCATCAGTGAATTCCGAAATGTGGACTGAAGGTTTTGTGGGGATGAATTTTTTGTTGGTCAATTCAATATTCTCTTTGAATTTCACTGGAAAATATTCCAATTTCGCTTCTCTATGTATTTGACATACTCAAATAATATGCATAATTTTTTTTCTATTCAAATATTCCAGCTTATTAGCTCTAAATGTAGAATTTATAGAATGCAACCATACATTCATTCTATATTGAATTGAAATTCTCGTGCTCACATTCAGCGCTCTGACACACGAGTAAAAGTGCAATAAGGTGAAAATGTAATGTACATTTCCAAACAAACTTGAAAACTGTGCTGGCATAAAAGAGAGAATTTTATTTGTTTGTTTCCTCGAATGTCTCTCTCAATATCTGTTTCCTCTTGTACGCATCTTGAAAATTAAATTTTCTACTCGCTGTGAATAGAGACTGGCAGAGTGATTGCATGTAGCATATCTGGAACATAACTGAAGTGATATTCAATGCATTTTGCGATGAGTTCGAACATAGTATAATTTTTCTTCATTTCTATTTGGTTTTTCATGAAAGGCTCATACTCTGCAATGGATACGGATTCGGATGGCTCAAAGAGAACTCAATTATACTATCTGAACTGAGTTTTGAACTGAGATGAGAATGTATAATGGATTTTGCCGAAAAAGGAATGATAACATTATAGCGAGTTTTATTTTTATATATTTTTGTTCTTCAAGATATTCCACCTGCTATTTTCCCACAGAAACATCATGTAATCTATACCATGAAAAGAGAGGACTCATAAAGAAGGTGCAACATTGTGATTCTCCAATGCATTTCTGGCTACATTTTCCAGCACAAACCGCCAGAATTTGTGTAAACATAAGTATCTAGTGTACTCATAAGATTAATAGAGCCATTTGGGAGTGGAACAATGATGCTTTTCCATGCCAGACGTAGTGAACCCCAAATTTTAAACAGAACTCTCACTGTGATGCTCAAAAAGCGGAGTGCATTTGCTGCTTCTTCCAGAAACTCATCATGATTCTGAGCATGAAACTCAACGGCACGAGT